AATTGCTCTGTCTCCCAATGCCGAAGTTGTGGCTGTGAGCTCCTCTAGCACTGTTGCCTTATACTCAACATCTAATGGACAATTGCGGCACTCAATCGAGAAGGTTTTCAATGGTGATTACTGGTTTTGCCGACTGTTTTACTTCAAGTGCCTTTTCAGTATAGCAATGACTTTATACTTTTCCAGGTGAAATAACTTCGATAATGTTTGACTCTTCCGGCAAATACCTTCTCCTAAGCGGCGACAGACAAATTCGCGTCTTCCACAATGTTACCGGTTACTGTTGCGAGATCGAGATGGCGAAAGAGAAACTGAAACAGCACCAAACTGCGACCACCAAAGATCGCTTGCAAAAACTTGTTTGTGATAACGAAGCGTTCCTTAGCAAACTTGGCGTTAAGGTGTAAAGAAAGGTACATTATCAATGGTACTGATTTTGAAATAATTAAGGAGAGCTATATTTTTAATATTTGTTAATTAATAAATAAATATTAGCCTCTTGTTATCTTTCTCTTCGGGAAACCGTTTTGGGTCTTTCTTGACATCATTTTAGGTTCCCGATGTCTAAATTTTCCAGTCTCTGTAGACAGATCGATCTTATTTAAATAAAATTTATTTTACGAAAATTATTTAAACAAAAAGTAACTGTAAAAGAGCAACAAATAAACAATAAACTGCGGTACGGGCTAAAACCTAATGACAAAATTGACTTTAGTGGGATCGGGGCAAGGACAAGCAATAAATTTGTGACAAGGACACAAATATTACATACATACTCACAGACATACATCAATAATTGTGTTCTTTAGTTTAATATTTAATCTAGAGCACCAACGCTGTCTACGTAACGGCATCTTTGTTTTAACTTTCGTCATGAAAGCGTCATGCAGTTTAAGTTTTTTATGTTTGTTGTTATTTTTATGTTATTACTTATTAGTTATGTCACCTAATGCCGGGACTGACCTCGACTCTCACTGTAGGCTTGAAATCCCTGGACAAAGGGCAAGTTACCTATCTCGGGGGCGAGATCTGCCTGACAAACATTTTTCGGTTTAGAATATGTGCGATATATGAGTTGCGATTCACTAATTTTCACATATTTTGTTGTGAATGTTGAATTTGCTCTCAAAGGTCATGTAATTTTCCACCTTGCACCTTTCAAGGGCCATTTTTCGATTTCACATTTAATAGTAGAATTCAGTTAGCTTTTTGGAGGGAATAGCCATTCCGGTGGCAATTTTTAAATGTTGCCTAGTTGAATTTTTATTTTAAAATTTAAAATCTAATTATAAGGGTTAATTACATTTTAAATTTTCATAAATTTATGAAACTAATAAAAATTGCTAGTGTAATTTTTATTTTAAGGGTTGATTTCATTTCCGTGTTATTATAGTGTGAAGTTGGCATTGAACCTGGAAGTTAAGCACACTATCTACATGGTTTAAGTTCGCCTCTGTACATTCGCCTTAGAATCTTGGGTTCCAAAAGAAATTGGCGTCAGGAATTTTCACTTCTGGATAAGTTGCCCATAAATATTTATCCAAAATGGACTCCCAGTTAAATTATCCCTATTGTTCACCTACGTAAGTCAAAATTCATTCAAAGAATATTTTCGAGCAAAAAATTCTTCACTCTAAATTTAAACACGAACATCCCAGACCCGCCCTTCTCTTGAAACAGAAAATTACTCATTAGATAAGACTTTTGAATGCTCGCTCCCGGAAAATCAGGCAGTAGAAAATTCGACCCTACTGGAAAATTCGTCATGAATATCAGTTATTTGATAGTCAATGGGGGTTTACAGTATAGTTGAATTCCGCAGTTCTAATTTAATAAGCGTGTACCTGAAACCATAAAACATTTTTTTGGACAGTAAAAGTTTATTTAAAAATAGAGTCCAGTCGCCATAGAGACGATGCCCTTTAATCCGTATCGCGTCACAATACCAGCTTCCACGCCGTTTCTTCATTGCGATGATGCCCACTGTACGACTCATGGAAATTGAAGAAATATCACTAATCCCTGCTTCCGGTGGGCTAGGGAAACCAGAGGCTTAGAGACCCTGTCCTGGACTGAAATCCGAAACCGATTTCTCCGTTTCTAGAAACTACGAAATCGCCAAAAAAGCGAGGCTACAACCCGCGCGAAAGCGGTCCATCAAACATCGCGGGGCATTCCGCGGTCCGAAAAGGCATCTTCGAAAATCTGTAGGTTCTGTAGGGAAACAAGTTTTATCTCGGTCCTCGCTGGCAACGGGCACCTACCAGTACCCTGACTGTAAGCAGTTGCTGATTTTGGATTTGGTCTAGGGAAGGGGGCATACAATTTTGAATATATTTAAAAAAACATTTATTTTTCATTTGCCGATTATATGCCAATTATATCTGTCATATGAGGTACATAAAGCAGTCTATTACGCCCCCGAGCAAGGTTAATAGACAGAATAGGTTGCCTCGTAACTTCCAGCCAATAAACGTTCACTATTAAAATACGCGAATGACGTCACCCGGAATCCCACTTTGTCCACATCATAAAAATTAATTATTAACGCAACAACAACAGAACAAGTTCAAAAAATGCAAAATGGATCGAAATGGTACTTTACACGGATGTTCTGAAAAGTCCTTGCATTGCATTGTAAGAAACATGCTAGCGAAATATTATAAACACTTTATTAAAATATATGAATAGTTTATTTATTGTCCCTCTCTTATTATGGGCCCTCAACAGGCTTTTGCCCAGTTACAGAGTGATCCGCATAAAGCTATTTAGGAGGTGTCACTGCAGAAGGTCTTAAGTTGATGTATAAGTATATATACTAATCCGGTATTTACCTAACTTACGAATTAGGAAAACTGCAGGAAAACCTAATTCGTCCTGCAATATTGTTTGCTCACGCCTCACTCAATTAGCACCAATGCCTAGAACCTTTCAGTACAACTTCTAGTTTTTTTTCTTAATAACCATAGAATTAGTTTAAAGTTTTTCTCATTTTTTTAAAATTTTGTCTTTCAGGTTCTGATCTAGGAAATTTAATTTTTTTGCGCTTTTCTTCCAGTTTTAAATTTAGATATTTAATTCTAACAAAAATTCTTAGTCTGCAAAATGCTTTTAGCAAGTCATTCGGTACATCTCTGACTTTGGTTGCAATAAAAGCGGAAGTTGTTACAATAATTAGTTTACATCGTTTAAATTCGTCCTCATGATATTCTTGAAAATATTTATCCATCAGAGTTACTTGCTGTATCCATTGTTGAGAGGGTTGAATTAGGCCACCAAATGACAAACTTTGAATCCAGGATGGAATGTTGTAATTATGTAAAGTAACGGCTTCTTCAGTTTGGTATGTATATCTACCAAGGTGTGGATATTTCTTAACATTTTTTTTAGCCAAATAACCAGCAATATAGACCAGTCCGTCATTTTCGGACATTTCTCTGCCTGATGAACTTGGAATAATTGATCTATCAGAGAAATCTTGACTTTCTTGTACTTTAGTCAGTGCTACGTCCGTATTCATTTTGATAAATTCAGTTTCTACTACTTCGGGAACCCTTTATGCGAGCTCGTTTTAACACGCTGGATAGTAAATATTCGTCCTGTTTGATTTCAGGAGAAATTTCCACATTGGCATTAGTTTGCACCATGCCGGGATTTTTGCCCAAAAGGATCATTCTAATCCTGTAAAGCGCGTTTAGGGGTGAAGGGTGATCATGAAGACCTCCCCGGGTTCTAATCTGAAAAAAAATTATTAGAAAATTGTAAGCAGATGTTGTAAAGATTTCTGCCTATAAAAATAAAGCTATCTCCTATAAGTCTGAAACACAAATTCACTATACCTGAGAAAAGAAATTCTCCAAACAGTCCTGATTGAGACGATGTGTTAATATATATTTAACATTCAAGCGATCTGCAAACAATTGCTGCAATGATCTAGTTGAAATAATTATCCCTTTCTGAAATACTTGAAGGGTTTTTTTTCCTTTGCATAACATCCCACTAATCGTAGATATCATGTGATGTAACACACCTAATACAAGCAGGCGGCTCTGATTTTGGGGTGACAGTTCGAATATGTCAAACGTAGAAAAATACGCGTTTTTCGTTTTCTTAAATAATAAAGTATTCTAATAAACTATCATTACTCTTGACTTGTTCTACGAATACTTCAGTGGCGACGAGGATTGTGAATACGATATTCGCGCGCGTAGAAAAAGAATTCTGGGAAGTAAGGGAACTTAGAAAATTGTTTGAATGACGGAATATCAGGAGTTCATTAAAACTTTTCAAGCCGAGTTGAAAGCTCAACGGGAGGAAGCGAAAGCCGAACGTGAGGAATTGATTCAAATAATCCAAGATCTCAAGCGAGTTCAGCCGATTACAATTCAGCAACGTGGTGAAGATGCAGGAGCGCATGCGAGGACGCTGCAAACGACATCGGACTATCAAAACGTCGCTCAGCAAATTAGGTACGTCGTTCGTCTACGCGCCTGAAGAAAATCTCACTTTCGAACCATGGATTGAGCGTGTCGAATGGGTTTTCGCTTCAGATCGAGCAAAGAGTCTTTCGGGATCAGATAAAGCGGCTATCGTACGTTCGAAACTCTCGGACTCCGATTATAAGTGTTTTGCAAGCTCTATTTTACCGAAAAAGCCACAAGAACTCACACTAGAGGAAACGGCCAAGACTCTCAAGAAGTTTTTCGGTCGGAAAGAGACTTTGTTTGCTCGTCGATTCAAAGCGCTGAAGCTTAAAAAGGTTGATGGAGAAGATTTCATTACATTCGCAGCTCGGATCAATAAAGCAGCAGACGATTTCGATATTACCTCGTTCAAGCTTGAGGATCTAAAAATGCAGCTATTTGTGCAGGGACTCGAATCGACTAGTGATGCTCCGATATTGAAGAAGCTTCTCGAGAAAACCGATGCCTATCAAACAAAGCTGGACACAGGTAGAGGATCCCGAAAATATCCCACCACTTACGCTGGATGAACTGCCAATGCTTGCCGAACGAATGATCCTTCTCGATAACGACCGTAAAACTGTTGAAAATCCATTAGGATCAATGCAGGTTTCTGCAGTTAGCAAACAGAAGAAGAAGGCATTTCCGCGCCCGGACTGCCATTACTGCGGTGATTGTCATTTCCACAGAGACTGCCCGTTTAAGAAAAAGACATGTCAAGACTGTAACGTCATTGGTCATAATAAGGGGTACTGCGACTCCGCAAAAAGTTTCGATAACTGGGCCAGGAATCGTCCAGGCAGGAAGCCAAGCACTGCTATTGCCAATACAAAGCAAGTTTTTTCAGCGAACCATCAGAAATCACCTTCCCGCAAGTTCGTTAAGTCGAAGATCAACGATATCGAAATAAAGCTAAAGCACGATTCTGGTTCGGACTGGAACCTCATATCTAAAGCAAATTGGGAAAATATTGGCTCTCCTCGTCTTACACCGGTCGAGATCGCAGCAATCAGCGCTTCTGGACATCCAATCAAATCATTGGGCATGTTCTCGGCCGTTATCGAGGTAAAGAACCGTTTGGCAATCTCCGACGTCTACGTGTCTGCGGAGGGTCAGAATCTCTTTGGGAATCCAGCAATGGAAGCCCTCGACCTCTGGGACTCTCCAATATCGATGGTAGTCAGCAGTGTCACCGATAACCAATCTCAACTCGCAGTGAAGGTAAAAGAAAAATTTCCTTCTCTTTTTTCTTCGTCTTTGGGTCTGTGCACGGGGTTCAAGGCCTCCTTGACTTTTAAGGAGAACGCAAAACCTCCATTTATCCGGGCACGTCCAGTACCTCATGGTGCCCTTGACAAGGTGGAAGGCGCTCTTCGACAACTCCAGAATGAAGAAGTAATCTCGCCGATTTCTTACGCCTTAGCAGCAGCACCGATAGTAGCCGTGCAAAAGAAAGACGGCTCTATTCGGGTTACAGCGGATTTTTCCACGGGTCTTAACAAAGCATTAGAAGACTACAAATATCCGATTCCTACACCTGAATCAATGTTCGCTTCGCTCTCGGGAAATGTTATTTTCACTACGCTCGACCTGTCGAACGCTTTCAATCAAGTCCCGGTGGACGATGAGGCAAAAAAGTACATGGCAATAAATACCCATCTGGGACTTTTTCAAGTTAATGAGGCTGGCCTGCGCCTGAACCATGGCAAGTGTGTATTCGGGCAACCGTCAATACGCTTCCTTGGAAAAATTATTGATGCCAAAGGCATACGCCCAGATCCTGCAAAGTTGCAAACTATCAGAGACCTTCCAAGGCCCGATAACGTTTCTCAACTTCGTGCCTTCCTGGGAGCAATCAACTGGTTTCATTCCGCATCTGAAGGACCTCCGAGGACCACTGGACGAGATGCTTTGCAAAAACGTCATCTGTGAAATATCGTTTTAAAGCAGTAGCAGTGGTGTTTGAAAATAATTGTGCTGCTAATTTCACATTTTGTCGTTGAGCTTTTTCACAGTGGGTATGCAGAGAATTTAATTTATAGCAGGGATTGATTTCGGTTCTAGTAATTTCGATTAATTTCTTTACAGGTCCAGGGTTAATGTCAGATCCATCACTCAAAACAAATCCGGTATCCAAGAACCAATTTCTTAGTAACTTTAATAAATGCGGCACGTCAGCAAAAAAATAGATGTTCTCTTTTGTAATGGGATGATGTATGAAAGTATGATCTACGTTAATATTTAATTGTTTCCAAAGTCCTTGGTTGCCACCCCCGCAGTCTGAAGTGCAAGCAACTACACTATAACCGATTTCATGTAATCGCGTGATGGTATTCTCTAATAATGCTTTTGTAACCCTCTGATCGAATCCAATATATATGGGTTGTTTCCAGTTTTCGAACAATCCTCTGGCCATTATGACCTGCATATACGAGTGCTTACCTAAAATCTCGTCTTCCTTTTGGTCGTAATTCGTATAATGAAGAAATTTTTATTTCATCGAATGATAAAACAGTAGTACGGTTAATATTGGATTTTGTTTGCCCTGCAGTGCCCATAATAGATAGTACATCTTCTAAAATTCCACTCCTTAAGTTAAGACTCGCAGCCCAGCGTTGTAATGTAGATAAACCGGGAAGTGGATAATGTAGCTTTTCCCTTAAATAAATGTAGCACCGTTTACTAAAATATCGTAGAGTAAAAGCCTTAGACACTTCTTCTGGAGCCCATCTTGCTTTCTTCTTTTTCTTTAAAATAATATCTATATTATGTTATCAAAAATCTCTAAACCTTCCCCATATAGTTTTATTCGTTGAAGTTTTTAAAAATAACAGCGACTATAGTTTCGGCGTACTGCCATCATCAGGCGACTAGAAGTGTATCACAATATAGCAAATTTGAAAACATTAAGAGCTAGTACTTACTGTGAAAGTTAACAGGAAAACGGTAAATTACAAACGTTGAAGACGGATAAGACGAACATGTTGTTTTTTTAATTATTAACTGGCCGAAGTCGCCTGATGATGGCAGTACGCCGAAACTATAGTCGCTGTTATTTTTAAAAACTTCAACGAATAAAACTATATGGGGAAGGTTTAGAGATTTTTGATAACATAATATAGTTCAACCCCCATTTCGAGGAACGATGGATCCAACTCAAAAAAAAAAAAAAAAAAAAAAAAAAAATATCTACTTGATTTGATGTTAAACAATTTTTGAAAGCAAACTTGGCTTGTACTTCGAAGTCAGTAGATTCGCCTTTTAACTGCTTTTCAAGATCACGAACGGTTTTCTGTAATGATTCGTTATCGGTTTGGAAGTAATTTAATTTCACTTTTCAATGCTTGATTTTCTTTTTGCAAATTGTCGAACTGTATTTTTAACACATTATAATCGTTTTCCTTGCTTCGCGAAGATGTATCAGATATATTAATGCAAGAAGCTTCAATTTCTTCTGTTTCTGCAGACAACGAAATTACACATTCTGACTTATTTGAAGTGCGCACCAGTTCTTCTACTAACATTTTTCTTTCTATAGCTGTTCTCTGGGACTCTATTTCTTCAGCTTCAGCGTCGTGTAAAGATTTTATATACAAAGATGGAATAGCAGTTAATAAAAGAAACTTATCCATCTTAAAAACACCTACGTAGGTATTCTATACGAACCATTTTTTTTTAATTTTTTTGCGACAACTCCCAGTAGCCTAGCTTGCATTTCATCTGCATAATCTTCGGCCCGGAAATGCAGACTGCATACCCTATTGCACAAGGGTTTCAGTTTCTCCTTTCGATTGCACTTTATAGTCCATTCTTTTTGCAATGCAGGATCTTTTGGAAATTTGAAAAACTGAATTTTTAAGCCATTTGCTTTTGATTTGTTACTTGTTAGAGCTGCTATTGCATATAGCAACGCTACAAATATTTCCACCCGGCATCAAATAACTTTAATTAATACTGAAGTATATCTAACAGTAATTCAATCGAATTATAATACGCATATACGTAATTCAGGGATATCTGACAATTACTTACACATTTCAAATAATTGTCAAAGTGAACGAAAACTCAAACACCAATCAAATGGGACTTCAGGATTCTCGATGACGCGTTTCCTTAAAGTTACGAGGCAACCTATTCTCTCTATTAACCTTGGCCCCCGAGTGCATAATGGATTGTCATCTCATATTACCTGTCAAATATACAGGGTGATTCCTATAGTACCTGCCACCGTTTGGGAGCGTGTAGGTGGTGCGTAGGGGAGTATTTTGATATAGGACACTTGGGGTCGGAAATCTAAAATAAGGGTGCCAGAGCCAAATTTACCTTCTGGAATTTCGCGCCTGTAGGTAGGCAACCCAACCGGCCGGCGGTGCACACGGAGCGATCTCAGGCGGCGATGTGTGGCTGACACTTGATCAGAATTTTGTTTAAACCCACGAAATCCCGTCTGCAACGACGCGTATCAAGTGAATAAACACTATGGCAATAGTATAATAATAGTTGGCTAGATGTAGGAAGTGCATTGAGAACAACGGTGGCCACGTTGAACACTTGTAAACGTTATTGCTTTTGACTGTCGTTTTCCCTCCTTCCCTCCCATGTCGCTTCCTCGCGCTAACTCGCTCTGCATCGCTCCGCGCGAAACGTCGGTCGGTTGGGTTGCCTACATACAGGCGTGAAATTCCAGAAGATAAATTTGGTTCTGGCGCCCTTATTTTAGATTTCCGACCCCAAGTGTCCTATATCAAAATAGTCCCCTAGGCACCCCCTATACGCTCCCAAACGGTGGCAGGTACTATAGGAATCACCCTGTATTGATGGAGTTATATTATGTAATGAAAAAAGATGCTACTTGATTCGTGCGAAGCAATTTAATATTTGTCAAACAATAATCATTACACTTGTATATTGGAAATGGATTATTTGGAACGATGAAATATGAAATGTTGTATGCACCTCAGGCATTACTCGATATTTAACCCTCGGGCGACTTACAATCCCTCGGGCCGGAGGTGCTCGGGCTCTGTCGCCCTTGGCATAAACATTTTTGGGAATAATACATAATATATTGAGCAAATAACTAATTCTTCATAAACTAAGAAAAGAACAAACCAGAAAATGTCTAAACCACAAAGCGGAGCTTTCTATCTGTCGGCGCAAATCGATTTTTTTCCACTTTCCACGACATTTGTCTAATAGGTATTCTTACACGATTAGGGCATTGTGCGCAGATACACCATCTTGTTGAAACTAACATCAGTTTCCAATAAAAAGATAAAGTTGATAATGATTTCTCCGAAATGAACCGTCTCAATGGCTCGTATGAATAAAAGTAAGCAAATGCTTATACTTGCAAAATTAAAAGTAAATACTCGTAAGTGCTCCTTCACACTGGGCGACTTAGCAGCGCTGCTAAGCAGAAGAACAGGACGCAGTGCAGCGCTGCTAAACAAACCAGTATAAAGGGGCACTTACGAGTATTTACTTTGAATTTTGCAAGTATAGGCATTTGCTTACTTTTATAATTTTATTCATAAGGGCCAACGTCTCTTGTAAAACTCAATAAGTGACAATGAGAAAATGGTTTTTTTGTATCTGCTCAAATAACATCAGAAAAAAATAAAAACGAATTCAACAAATGTCTTGTCTCTAATTTGACTATCTTCTACCACTGTGTAGGAGGGGGCACGCGTTCCCTGCGCCCCCCTTTAAATCCGCGCCTGACTGTAAGTCTAGGTATTGTGCAGGACACGTATGAGGTACATTTAGAAAATTGTAATAGTTCGTCCAAACGGGGCACAGGAGACGTGTTGGAGATCGCGACAGCGTTTAAGCGGCGGCAGTCGACACACAGACCGAAAATTTCACCCTTTTTTGGAACCAACACGACGGGGCTGACCCACGCGGACTCGCGCTCTTCTATAAGACGTCTAATTCCTTGCGTAGAAACCCTTTCTTGGCTACACTTAGACTTAGAGAATTCGATGTCATGGCATTGGGTGCCTGGTTTTTGACGACGCTGCGGTACACCGCGTACTCCGTTGGTTCTCTCTCTTCTCGAAAGACCTCTTCATGTTCCCTTAGCACAGATTCAATAGATTCTCCTTGGCTGGCTTGCAGATTTGGACATTTTGCTGGCTGCAAACTTCCTTCAGATGCCTCAGCGTCCCTGTATACCAGAATTTGTGGGCTACGTTTAGCACGACTCCAGCGACTTCTAGGAAATCACAGTCAAAAAGAGGTTTCTGCTTCAACTCTGGTTCAATCGTAAATGTTGTGGGTATGCACCGATTATAAAGATGAACACCGACCCTGATGGTCAAAATCGGTGAACCACACACTTCCCTTCTCCTCGTTGACTGCCGCTACAAGTTTCTTTTCTAAGCTCAGTATTCATAGTTCGGTACCTCTTTCCCTCTTCGTTATTTTGCTATTTATATTTCCTGCGTTCTCTTCTTTTTCTGTACCCTAGGTCCTGATTACCAAATGCCTTATTAGCAGGCACCTAAGAAATGGTCGGCCCCGGCGAATCGTGAACTAATAAATAAATAAAATGAAGAATGTCCACTAGGCCCAAACCCAACACAGTGATTGCGTCGGTAACATCGAGTTCAAACCTTTTCCTAAATTGTTCTCATTGAAGAATTCACCACAGGAATGTCAGGAACAGTTTGTACAAACGTGCCATATTCGTAACATTCATCCCAAAGAACCTAATTTTATATTTAGTGAAAGAAAAACCCAAAGCGAACGTTAGTTTTCAAGAAAAGGATTTGTCTTCACTCACATCTTTCCTTAAATCCCTGCATCATGATTGGCGAATTCCACATGACATTTGGAACCTACATTATGCAGTGTTCGATTGCTGTCTGTCATATGACAATTTGTCAGAACTCTTCTCCAAGTACAGATCAACTATGTGTTGTATCTTAGCACCTCTCTGCAACCTGTGAGTTTAATCAATATTTGCGGCAGATTAATTATTCCGAGTGTAATTGCAGGTGTTCATTTGCTACTAGAGTTCTGTGCGTATTGATTTCGATTGTCATCGCTGTAGTAATTGTTTTCATCGTAGTAAATCACACTTCGGGAAAGTAATAAGGCCGTTTCCAAGAGCGCAGAAGTTATTTTAAAAATTTATTTATACAATAAAAAAGTAATATCTCACTACTTACAAATAATGTATTTACATTGCACGATCCTCTATAAGAGAACGCGCACGATATTTTAGCAAATTAAAAATAGAAATGTAAAACAAATTGATTTACTTATCTATGACAATAAATAGAAATCAGTTTACTGCACCAAGCGAGCATTATCAAAATGCCGCGAAATCCATCTGGTTGGCGTTATTTGGCAGACTCGTCCGAAAGACGTCGTACTTATTCGTCATTTCGCAAAACGCGTTGTTCTGCTGCGCCTTCTTCAGGATATTATCTAAAAAACCGTTGTCGAAATCCGTCTCAAAATCGTCGAAGGTGCGGCCGAAGTCGTCGTCGAAGCCCACCCAGTCGTTCTTCGAAATGTCGACGTTCGGAATGAGCTCGGTGTCGAAGTCGATCAGCTTCTCCTCGATGATCTCGTCGGCGTCGCTCTTGGCGCAGTCGTCGGTCATCAGGTCGTTCTCGATGATTTGCGTTTTCATGGTGTTGAGGGTGTTCTTCATTTCCTCCCCCTTGACGTTGGCGCCGTTTTGGACTGCGCCCGGCGACGTCTTCCAGTGCTCGTACGCGTTGGTGAATGCGTGAGCGACGGTGAGCGCCATTACTTCGGCGACCTTCCGTTTCGGGCAGAGGAACGCGTGGCACTCCATCGTCTCGTTTTCGTCCGTAGAGAAAAAGGAGAAGACCTGCCTGTGCGATTTGTCCGTGGAGCAGTTCGATATGCTAAAAAGAGCGTTGGGGAATTACGCGCTTTCGAACAGAGGACGGGCGAGCTTACCGATAGATCGAGATTTCAAACATGAGATTCCCCTTGGAATCTGCCACCGAAATTCCCTTCAGCGAGATTTCGACGTTGACACGTGCGATTTTCTTCCCGGAAGCTTTGGCGACCTTAATAATGTTTTTAATCGCGTCACGGCTAACATTTTCTCCTACACTTTTATCGACTACTGTATTTCCTGTAAATTGTATGAGTAAGTAAGTGCGGGAAATGTTGGTTCTCTGTTTTACCTAAGTACTTGAGCTTAAAGCTCATGGAGTCTTTTTCGGGCTCTGATGGGGTTTCGACTTCAGTCACTTCCGTCTCCTTGGCATTTTTCAAAGCCTGCTCTTCGGACAGTTCTAAAAAAAGATCAAGGGTTAGTACACGTGCTGATTGTATACAACGTAGTAAACGGCGTAGTGAATTTCGCAATTCATTCATAAGTTTGTGTTGTGAAATTGGTGCATGCACTAGACCGTTTTATCAGTCCGTGATAAGGGTGTACTTCGATCCGATCCAAATGCGTTTTAAATTTTCCACGTGGGCACGCGTACCAAAACGCGTGGTGAAACAAAAATAAAAGAGCGCGTATTTATGTAAATATTTTTAACCTTCGTACAAGAGGTGACGTCACGTAAATGCTGTTTAGAAATGGGTGAACGTGCTCGAGACGGACCTGGTGCAGCAACTACGACTCAGTACCAGTTGGTACCGTCGGTACCCGCACTATAAAAATAGATATCTCTTTCTCGGAATATTAATTATACACTTGCGAGACGATTATTTAAAAATTTTCCGTAAAAAAACGAGCAAAAAATAAATTACACACTGCACTCTATCTGCAAGAAAGTAGCTCTAGGTCAAAGCGAAATCGTTTTTGGTACCAGCGCGAGCGTGGAACTGGTTACATGATGCAATTTGTACCTTTGTTACTTGGGGTTATGGAACTTCATTTATAAACATTTTATAATTATCTATAACTTTTTCGGGGTTATCACCGACCGACAGATGCAACGGAATTTTTTGTAGAGACTTCAACGCTACCTAAAGCGAGCTATGAGGAAGTCACCTTTGCAAGTGTTTTTTATGCGCTAATCTAACAAGGACAATAAGAGGACGTGAATTTCCTATCAACAATACATTGCAACCTTCTTTATAAACAATTTTGAAATCGCTCTTTCACCATCGGCTTATGGAAGAAAGTTTTAATTAAACAGTTAATTACTTATATAACTCGAACGTGCAATAATTACTTATAACGGCTTAAACAGGAAATTCCGTTCGGTTTTCAGAAAAACAAAAAAGAAACTTACTCTTGTGCTTGGAGTTGTTCTTCCAGATGCTTTTGAAGAAGGACATTTTCTAATATCACACTGTTAGCAACAATAATCGTTCTTTGTTTAAATAAGTGGCACTTATATTGACCGGTGGCCCCTGTCCGCGCGATAAACTGTTGTTAGCGAACGAAAAAATCAATTCACCGTTTAATGATGCAATAACAATTAAAGTGGACGTCCGAACAAAACGAAAGCTGCTTTATGAATGCAATTTGAGCAAGACGAGTCGAGTTTCTGTGATCAATTTCTGATCTGCGGTTTGGTTTTGCCCACTTTCGACCATAGGTACTACTTTTATATGTATTTGCGCTCCTTATCTCTTACGCTCTCAGTTCGTTGTAAATTTTGATTTCTATTTCCAACGATATTGCGTAGATACCTACACGATATACATGACGATATTACATACATCGATAATTAGGAAATGAATGTTATTATTGATAAAATTCGCAGCTAAAAATAAGTTGACGCTGACGCGCATAATATTTTCGAAAATTTTATCGTTCCAAATCGCAATCAAAATTTGTGCCATTTTTCGTTGTTGCCTTGGTGATTCCAAACCCCGATGAATGAACGTCTCGTGTGAAAAACGGTCAGGTGAAATAAATTTTTTTATTGCACCCGACAAGGACGCTTATCATGATGGAAACGGTTCATGTGACTACCCTTAATCTAACCGTTATCAATATCCGCCCCGGCCCATCGCGTCATTCCTGTCAAATAAAAAAATTTTTTTTTTGCTGTTTTTTACTGTAGAGAATTTCCGTGATTATCACAGAAGGGAAGAGGTTTTCGGCGAGTTTGTTTATAGTTGCTTGAGGGACGAATTAAATGATGGATCAAATCAGAGTGATGATGCAACATGAGCTATATTTTCAGCTTCTGTTACTTCGATACCAATACCAAGAGTCATGTATTATTGCTTATTTATGCATTTGATTAAAGTAAGCCTTACTGTAATAAGGGTCCTTACAGTAGCATCTTACATTTCACACCAACACTACAGATCTCGGCATCTGATTCGAATGATTAATTCTTGCATAATAAGACTGTGATGTAGTTGTGTAGGTGGTAATTAAATTAAAGCACATCCAAATGGCAAAGGTGGCAATATGCCGATGCGATTGTGCGTTCGCACTCTGGTAACGATCGTAAGGGATGGATGTAGATGTAGATATTAGTGCGTTTGACGTAGAAGCGGTCCCCACGTGTAGGTCATCCTGGTCATCGTTTGCGCCTGTTATTTTTATTGGGCTATTGTTCTGCAAAATCTTTGGCAGTACCTACCCGAATGTATTCCTAGCCCTTGGAAACATAGAGAGTAGGCGTCACGGGTAGCTTAAAATTTAGTATTAGTCCAAGTACGATTGGAGCGACCACCCTCCTGAGAATTTATATGTAGGTATAGCAATAGCCACAAATGTACCAAAACTAAAAAAATATTGTAAAATAAGACCTTTCGCTTGTTGGAGATCCGTTTTTGTCAGAAAAGGTTACCTGCACTAACATATTTAAAATAATGCCGCCCTTATAAGGGCATTACAGCCATTGACAAGTCTGATTTTAGCAAATATCCATATTTGCAATGCCTCATGTTTAGAATTAATGGCATAATGTGGTACAGTGCAGACTTGATTTTGCTGATGTTTGGGTATTAGGAATATTAAACAACTTGAATGAATCAGATTTTTAATTTAACTTCAAAACAAATACAAAGCGTCTGACAGGTTTTTTTTACTTACCACGTGTCTTCAAAACAACATTTTTTTAATCCAAAATTATAAAAAGTTTGCTACTAATCTACATACCTACTTTAAAAATATGTTCAGTCATAGAGTATTATATTATTTACTCTATGGTTCAGTGGCGTACGTCAAAGGGGCATATATATTTTTGAAGAGCAACCACTATTTTTTGCTACAAATTCTTACTTGCTATACAGGGTGATTCCTATAGTACCTGCCACCGTTTGGGAGCGTGTAGGTGGTGCGTAGGGGAGTATTTTGATATAGGACACTTGGGGTCGGAAATCTAAAATAAGGGGGCCAGAGCCAAATTTACCTTCTGGAATTTCGCGCCTGTAGGTAGGCAACCCAACCGGCCGGCGGTGCACACGGAGCGATCTCAGGCGGCAATGTGTGGCTGACACTTGATCAGAATTTTGTTTAAACCCACGAAATCCCGTCTGCAACGACGCGTATCAAGTGAATAAACACTATGGCACGTTTTACTAACACGGAATACGCGGACATGCACTTCATGTACGGATTGGCAAATGGTAACGCACGAGCTGCACGACGAGCGGTATCCAAACCGTCAGTTACCCTGCAGACAGGTCTTTCAAGAAGTTCACTTCCGACTGTGCGAGACAGGGCATTGCAGGTAAGCTGACGGAGGCTTAACTTTACACACAGATTCGTGATGCACATCGATACTTGGGTCATTTAAGCACCCATTTCGAAAAGTTTGTTTGTTTACACCGCCCTCCTCCTATTTCGCAGCCCACTAGCGCCCGTGATCGCGATCGCCCGTTGGTAAATGCCTTAGAGGAGGATGTGTTGGAACGTTTCGAGGCAAACCCGCGTACTAGCACTCGACTTGTAGCAGATCAGGTGGGTTGTCAACACACAGTGTGGAACATCGCCAACAAAAACAACTTACACCCCTATAAGTTTAAGAAAGTGCAAGAGTTACGGCCGGGTGACCATGAAAGGAGGCTGGAATTCTGCAACTTAGTCGTCCAGGAGGAAGAAGCTAATCCGAACTTTCTGAGGAGCGTGCTAGTTACTGACGAGAAAGGATTCTCAAGAGAGGGGACCTTCAATCCTCGTAACAGCCACTACTGGGCGGACACAATCCTCATGAAACGTTTACGCGAGGATACCAGGACAAGTTTTCTTTAAACGTTTGGGCTGGCATCCTGGGGGACAACCTACTGGGGCCTTACATCCTCTCTCCGCGTCTAAATGCCCATAATTACCTGATTTTCCTGCGCGAGGTGCTACCAGAACTTTTAATGGATGTTCCAGTGAACTTGTACTGGGACCACTGGTTCCAGCACGATGGGTGCCCTGCTCACCACGGGCGGCAGGTGAGGGAACACTTGGACCAAACCTATCCGGACATATGGATCGGCCGTGGAGGTGCGGTGGAGTGGCCTGCCCGCTCGCCCGACATCACCCCATTAGATTTTTACTTGTGGGGTGTGATGGAAGCGCACGTCTACGAGACTCCCGTCGAATCCGAAGAGGACTTAATTGCGCGCGTCGTCATGGCCGGAGAGGCTGTTCGCCAGGACATAGGAGTCTTCACGCGAGTTCGAGGGGGAGTGGTTGGCTAGATGTAGGAAGTGCATTGAGAACAACGGTGGCCACGTTGAACACTTGTAAACGTTATTGCTTTTGACTGTCGTTTTCCCTCCTACCCTCCCATGTCGCTTCCTCGCGCTAACTCGCTCTGCATCGCTCCGTGTGCACCGCCGGCCGGTTGGGTTGCCTACCTACAGGCGCGAAATTCCAGAAGGTAAATTTGGCTCTGGAACCCTTATTTTAGATTTCCGACCCCAAGTGTCCTATATCAAAATACTCCCCTACGCACCACCTACACGCTCCCAAACGGTGGCAGGTACTATAGGAATCACCCTGTATACGCATATAAAAAGTGTAGACAATGAAAACTTGTAGTTGCCATTAAAAAAATATGTCCTCCTTGGCCATGCAGAAATACGCCTCTGACCTCAAATTCAAAGTACGCAGATTGGTATCAAATTGGTGGATTGTATAAAAAAAACTTATGTGCAAAAATTGTAGTTTTGAGGACTTATTCAGTGTTCTACCTACAATTTCCACCCTATATATGCGGTAAATCTACAACCGACAAAAATAAAAAGTCTCTGTTCTTCAACACTTTCATTATTTCAAGTCGTCGAGGCAAAAACAATAGTCTAAAGAGCTTGTAGTTATAGACGGAGCACAGGCTTTTTTAGCGTCGAGTTGTTAAGCGAGACGCTTATGGTTTCGTCCGATCGAGCGCTCGCTCGCTCGATGGCTTCATGTCCATCGATTTAAAAGAGAAAGGATGGATCGCTTCAGTCCCGCATTCACAGGGGGCTAAAATGGCTATAGCCCAGAGCGGCAACTTTACGGGGCGGCAAAAATTAGTACATACACAAAAATCCTATGATATTAACTTGAGCTTAACGGCTCGCACGTGCACTTCTTGAATGATATTTGAGGGCGTCGTCGTTTTCTATTCTATCAGTCTGTTCATTTGCGCTGTCAGCACTTCACACCATAGCCCCATTAGAGGATTGATCCAATTTCATATATGCCCCCCCCCCCCCCTAAATATGAAGTTGATGTGTTTTTGTTTTTCCGTAGATTTTGTTGTATGGCTACAAAAAATTGAGAACTAAACGTATCTTTTTATTATACAGTGCGAGTGTTAAGTCTGGGACTGTCACAATATATCTTTTAGTAAACGTTTTTGAAAAAAATCCTCGAGCGCGTCAATTTTTATCTTAAATGAGATAATATATTTAATTGTAATTGTCACTTCAGGATCGTCTTTTGTTTTGGAGATATGATGTATAAGTAAGCGTTAATCAATTAGTCCCGTGACCATTGCATTGTGTACCTATTACTGAAAGAAACAATTGCAAAATTAGAAATTGTTTATACGACTAATCAGTTATCATGTATACAGACGGACGGGCGGATAGTCCAAAATAAGTCACTCGTTAATAAGTGGAGAGTAGTGGAAAGTGGAACGAATTTTGTAGGTGGATTCTTTATCAAATTTGTAGATCGGAGTTCGGAGTTCGTGAATAAAAATAAGGAAGGCCCTTTTCACAACTCCGTTACGTATGAACCGAATTGTATAAAATTTAAACTGGGCATAGCTTTTTTTAGCGATATAATACGCAATGCCAAAAGTTAAGCCTAATCGATTCAATATTCACAGTGCCTTTTTGGCGCATTTTTGCAAATTTCATTTGTAAAAACTTAAAGCGCGAATTGCCGGTGAACCGAACGTCGCGTCGGAGGTGGGTACCGACAAAGGGAACGTGGTAGTCCCTGACAAGGTGGGAACGGCCCACAGGGATAAACGGCATTTTGTAATAAAATGGTGCCACGTGTTCCCTAGACCTATTAGAGTGATTTGAGTGGCAGAGACGGAACTTCCGTCCCTTAGGATTGAAAATGGCGCCAATTTTTTAATTTGAGCCGAATTTCAGGCAACATATTTAGTGCGATTTTTACATTTAGGGTGTCGTTTTCGAAGTTCTTCTGTTTCAGGAGCATGCTTTACTTTTCATATGTAGGGCCTCAATTATATGACATCTTTAACGCCCGACAAGATTCAAAAGTTTTAACCGATTTCTTTTGGGTGGGGACCACCAGAAAAGGCCCATTAAAGATCTTTTTTATGAATCGTTATATATTTTGAATAAACAGGTCGAGACGAAGTATTAAAGTAAAATTTATTCAATGAATCGTATTTATAACTAAAAATTGTTCATTATTGTAAGGTATTTACAAATTAAAAGATATCAGCCATCAAAGGGGATTGCTTTATCATCACTGTCCACTGAAATCTTCTGTTGCAATCTAACTATGAAAAAAGCTCATTAAAAATAAAACGCTCTGATTTTTATATTCTTGTTTATAATAATCATCTTCTGATTTTTGTAGGGTTCTTGGCAGAACACTTTAGGGTGCAGGGAAGGCTACTTCGAAAGCATGGGACACCTTACAAGTTGACTGGCATTTTCCTAGGACTGGGAACTTTTTTATATTTGTGCCTCTGTAGCCTAGTTTTGTTTCAAAGAAATAACTTAAGAGTTTGCTTATGTGTGCCTAACTTTTGTTCGCAAATACTTCTTTTTCCGAGATACGAGGTATTAAAGTTTTTCTAAAAAAACTGACTGTTTATTACTCTGAAACCGGTCGAGATATGTAAATGAAATTTGATTGGTTTTAAGAGGTAGCTATTACGCATTTGCTAACATGCAATTAAGAATTTTATGCTTATTATTTTTGCATAAAAGAAGAAAGGCAAAAAACGTAAGCGTCCAGATTCAAGTGCGTTTCTACTTTTCGACAAGACCTATCATCGTCAATTTAAAATCGACTATATGACACAAAATTTCAAAATTGTAATGATACAGTTAATACGTAAGTGAGTGTATTTCAATTAACAGTCGCATGATTCTGCAAATCATTCGTGAAGGGCAGATTACGAAATATAGCTCTCAACACCTTCACCTTTAATATTTACTCCTTCATATCTAGGTGTTGGTGCCTAGAATTCCCGAATTAGGTAAAAAATAAAACGAAAAGGGCTAAGAATTATTTTAAATTTTTCTGAGGTGCAATTAAAAAATGTCTTTTTCCCAATAAAAATACCGCTTCGTTTTTACGTTTTCGTTTCCTACAAGATAAACCAGTGCCTGTCCGTACCAGTGGAGATTCCCCATAATTTCGTCTATCTAATAAAGTTGTGGTTAAATGTTTGTTTATTGAAGACAAATTTTAAGATTACATAACGCATGTTACTAACCGCAGAGATATGTACCTATGCGAACTGCTAATTAACATTGATCGTTAGCATAAACATAATCGACTGATGAACGAAGGCAAAGGTCGTGCGAATTTGCAACAAATTTTAATTTTCATTTAATTGTTAGAAACTGAACTACGATGAGATTACATTACAATTATGTGACTCATTTACAAACTATTGTCATTGGCATGATACATAGATTTGAAAGTGTTAACAATTACCTAATTACTCGCTGTAATGAGTTTTTTTTAGTTCGGTTACAGGAAAAAAATTATGTCAGACAACCGAAACATATTTTTGTTTGCGTACTAAGGCATAAGATGGTACCATTCAGATTCCATGAATGAAACAGACGCTATTGAATTATCCTAAAGAGGATAAGATAATGTGGGGTTTAATGTTCATTTTAATAGTTATTTATCTGAACCTGTAAGATAGACAACGCATCAATCGTGCTAGAGTGACGCAAATTACTCTGCGCATCTCTTTTTTTAGAGAACCATGAGACAAAATTTCAAGGACAATGACAATCCGAAGTAACCCCCCCCCCCCCCCCCCGGATGTCCACTATTACAGGACCTATCTTTCTCCAACACACTCCAGTCCCAGTTCTCCCATACAGTTCTCCCAAAAGTCTCTTCATTCCCATCCCCCAGATTTGTAAACGCCACCTCCTGTTGGTGGAAATCACTGTGAAGTGGTCGAACAAAAGCGTCTACCATTGAATTTCAATGCTTCTACCTCCGGGACGACTTGAACCTCTAAACACAGGTTCTACAGAACGGGCCCTAAAATCGACCGTTACCTGCAACACCTTTCCTTGAAATAATGATGCTGTATGGTTCTGTTCCATCCATCCCCATCTCCTCTGAGAACGTGCAAATCGCTTCCCTACGCGTGTCGTTAAACGCATTACATATATCTTGGACCACCACGTCCCTCGTACCATTACTTGCTTCCGTTACGTCATCCGGGATTCACCTCAAAGTTTGAGCTGCCTCTTTGTATCTACCCATATACTGTCCCCCGCTTAGATTCGTCCTGTCTCTTTTACGCTAAGGAACAACCATCGAGACTTCAGGTAGATGCGACGCTGCTCAGCCATCTCCGAGGTCTATACAAAAGCGACCCATATAGGTACCCTACCCCTCGTTCTTATTCTTATACGTCTCTGGTATCGCCTCATCTACCATCGGGCTTAGGTTACTCTTATTCATCTTTGCAGTGTTAAATTTTGTTACTTGTTACACCTTTGATTTTTTGGTAACCTGAGCGTTCTTTTTCCAAAACAAAACAAACCGATGGTCACCCATAGAACTCTTGTACGTAAATCTGTAGAAAATGGCAAACAAGTTCTGGAAAGTATTTAAACAGCTCTGGTATGCTACTAAAATGCTTGAGAAAGGACTTATACAGGCAAATTTGATTAAAACTGAAGAATTTACGAATTTTTGAAACGCTGTATCTCCAAAACTATTAGACTTACAGAGCCGGTTAAGGGCTTGAATTGTTACAAATTTTGTCTAGTTTAATAAAGTATACGGCAGAAATTGCTTTAAAATTTGTCCTTCAGAACTAAAACTAACCAAAACCTAATAATAATAGAAAAAATGGCGTATTTTGGAGTGCTGCGTTGCTCGCACAGGTCTTTGGATGTCGAAAACTTGGATTTTTGACATCCATACTCAGTCTAACAATTTAAAAGAAATAGAAATGACACATCTCATGCAAGGTATTATGATAATTTGACTGGACTATATAGCTACTCAATCGAATAACAAGCAAGTAACGTTTAATGTATTTGAATATTAATAATATTTCAATTTTATCAACTGTTCAGATTCATTTTATAATTACATTAGTCAATGTTGATATGGGAATTAATCTACAAGAATAATAAACAAATGCCAAAATTTATCAACATTTATGGGAGAAGTCTCACAAGGAGTGAAAAGTCCGAGAGTAAAGTGTCAGAAGGGGCGAATAGTCCGGGGGCGAAGTGTCACAAGGGGCGAATTGTGAGGGGCCAAATGTCAAGGGGGCTAATTGCGAGGGGCCAAATGTCCTCATTCGATTTTAACGACATTCTTGTGTTTGTAAAAACTGAACTCTACAAGTACCTATATTAAATGCGTTGTTACAGGTAAGTCACTCCGCACGCCACACTCCAAGCGTGACACTTCACACGCCTTGTAGGGCTGGCTTTAATGCAAAACTCCTCGAGCCACTCGTAACCGTCCCCGATGTGAACAAGGCTTAACAGCGTAACCTTGATCTAGGGGCCAGAGCACTGCGGAATATGGGATAACAAAAGGGCGTAGGAGCTGGTCCGCGAAAGCAAGTGACCAGCCAATTCCAGGCTCAGTGGCAACAGGCAACCGGACTCGGGCGGTCCAGGGGGCCTTGGGCGCCTTTTTAACAATGCCCATTGGCATATCTGGGTCTTCTAAGCTTCTACAACGCAATAGAAATCAGATTAGAAAGATCAACGGTGTCCTCACGGGACACTGGATGGTCAATTACCCGCACAAAGCACAACATTGAGCTTGTACGAGTGCCCACGTGCGGGTTCTGTGGTGAGACAGATGAAACTACCGAGCATGTAGGTAGTCTGTCACTAGGTAGGTACTATCCTGTATTAAGAGAAGTGGGCTGTGAACTACTTGGGGAAGAAAGGGAGTGGGCACAATGAGAGTCTTTGGTGTGTCTACGTGCAGCCTGGTTAGGCTCCCCTTGTAAATAGAAAGGAATAGAATGACTCTCGAAAAAGTTCTAAGATTTAAAAAAACTCTCAATCCCATATTGAGAACGAATTATTTTCGGTTTTGCATAAGCGCTTTATTTCTAATCTAAGCCTTCCCAGAGCTTTATATACCGCATCTCCAAAGCCATTATCAAACGCTCTGGAAATGAGCTATAAAGCTCTGGAAGGCACCGAGAAATAAAGCGCTAATCCAAAACCCAAAATAATTCGTCCTATATCGCTCGGAAAAATTTGTAGTAGTGCTGCCATCTGGTTACGGCCACTTCTTCGATCATAGCATAGTCTGTGTGTTGATTGATCTGTGGTTTCCTGGGGCACCAGTGCTACCAACAACACGTTTAGTTGCTTTTTTATAATTGTTGATGTTGCATGATCAAAAATATGTTATGAAAGTAGCATCTTCGAACTTTTAAATCGTTTACTAAAAGTGTTTCCAACATTTGCGCTACAAGCCCTTTTATATGTTGTGGAATTTGCAGATTTATCTTAAATCGTTCGTATTCACCAAGCACGTTGCTTTGTAAATAACGATGGCAGATCCATTGAGTTTACTTCGCCAGTACAACGTAAATAAAAAGGAAATCATCGAACGAGAAGACCAAATCATTTTTGGCGAATTCTCATGGCCGAAAAACGTAAAAACCAATTATTTGATGTGGGGGTATGTACTCGCTTAATCCCGCTTTATCCACATTTGAAGATTGCGTCCGTTTTAGATCCGGCAAGGATGGTACGGCCAAGGACTATTACACTCTGGAATGTTTATTGTTTATATTAAAACATGTTTCTCTTACACATCCTGTGTATGTGCGACAGGCAGCCGTAATATTTATAAAACTCATTGTCACAAAGTGCCCCAATGTACGTTTTAGAAAGAAAATATTCCGGTGGTACGACGGCCGGATAGAAAGGAATTATTGGCTTATTTAAATGGCGAAACCGCGAGTTGTCCTTCAATCGACAAAAGTGCACCTCTCGAGCTTCCAACGCAAGTAAAAAGGTCGGCGGACTACGATGGCACGGATAACTTGGCAAAGAAGCCTCGTTTGGAAGATACCCACGTACAAAAAGTACGCGAACAGATGGCCGCCAGGCTTGATGCACCTAAAGAGGCTTCCGTTACCGTCGATAATATTAAGTGCGTGCTTTGCGTCGTTTTCATCTCTTAACGCTTTCTTGTAGGTCACTTTCAGAGGCTATGTCCGTAGAAAAGATTGCGGCAATTAAAGCAAAACGTTTGGCCAAAAAAAGAACTACGATTAAAGGAAACGATGACATCAGGCAGGAGTACGATATTAGGGCGATTTTAGATCTCGACGTCGATATTACTAAGGACATCATTAGCAGAGAACGTCAGTGGAGGACGCGAACTACAATTTTACAGTCGAACGGAAAGGTACCATATTTGTTAGCCTTGCACCAGTTGATTAATCACTCGTAGATGTTTGCGAAAAATATTTTGGCGATGCTGCACAGTATTAAAGCGAGGGAGGAGGGTAAACACAGGCCGCCACAACAACCGATAGTAACGCCTCGTCAGACTCCCATTCGTGCAATCACACAGCCTTCCGTGTACAATCGGTACGATCAAGAAAGATTTATCCGGCAACGAGAAGGTATGTTTTTGATAAAGTAAAGTGAGATAGTGAGGTGAGCTCCATGTATCTTTGGAAATGGTGCACATATGTCTTTTGTTGCTAAAGTTATTAAGCGGTAGAGTAAAGCAATGCAAGCTCTATTGACACCTTATACTAGGGTCACACTCCCCTGCCGCTTGTCTAGATCCACTTTCTTTTACCTTTTCTCCATAGCAACAATAATATTTATTGCTGAATGTGACATCTAAAGCTGTATATAGCAAGAGATATTGTACAATACAATAATTGTGTACAGGGTGTCCGAAAAGTATGGAATGTCTTATATATCTTTGTAAATATCTATTTTATCAAATAATGGTTCAAATAAAAGCTATTTAGGATTTAAATTTTTCATCACATGGAATTTTTCGTTTTTTAAATTTTTTTTAAATGACAAGCTAAATCTTTTGCCAAGTTATTTGATAGTGTTTTACTCTCTTTTCAAAAATGTGAAATATTAATACCCTTGCATTGGAGAAATTTTATGAAAACTTCGAAAAACTGCATAGGTGTATTTCAACAACGTGGGGTTCCTCACATTTTGCCCTAAAAATGAAGATTCATCTTGATTTTTCTTCTTTTCATGGTGTTATTCACCAGAATGCACTGTGTGCTAAAATTCAAGCACGTAGGACGACTTTTTCGTATTCAACTTGAAGAAATGGCACACAACATTCAGATCTTGGTAACAGTTCAGATAACGGGTCCATGCGAATTTTAAAGAAAAAAGTGTCAGAAAGGCTTGGAAATGGACTAATTTTTCGAAAGGTGATAGTTTTTTTGCGCAAATTTGCCCTATTTTCACGATTTCCAAAAAATGTTTGTAGTAGTTTCTTCATTGTACAGGGTGGCCAAATGAGAAGGCGAGGTAAAAAAAGTTATTACTAAAACGACCACGGGTAAAACCTGGAAAATATTTTTAAGGTTCTGAAATGGCCGCTAGGGGGCGTAACTACAATCTGGAATCTAAAAAAGTGATTTTTCTGTGAATTCCGCTATATTAACCTAACAAAAAATGTCCGATTTCGAAGATACAGGGTGTTCTTTACAGAAACCTTTGAAAACCCCCCACCACTTCATTTTTAGAGATACAGGAAAAATTGTCAAACAAAAATTGTGCAAATTATCGTCGACTTCAAAGACGGGACATTTTTTTGTTAGGTTAATATAGCGGAATTCAAAGAAACATCACCTTTTTAGATTCCAGATTGCAGTTACGCCCCCTAGCGGTCATTTCAGAAACTTAAAAATATTTTCCAGGTTTTACTCGTGCACGTTTTAGTACTAAATTTTTTTACCGCAAGCCTCTACGATGGATAGATCTCAGATACAGTACCTCGCATTCTTAGTTGGCCACCCTGTACAATAGATGGCGCTGCATATACATTATAAACATAGATATATTAATACATTATATAATATATCTATTATATATATATATATATATATATATATATATATCTATGTGTAAATTTGGTTTGTGCTTCCACCTATGGAGAAATAATGGAAGTATTTTTTTGTAAAAGTTGTTAATTGCGCCCACTATTTTTGTGTGTTTTATCGTTCTCAAGGCTCATTCTATCATGTGTAAAAATTTCATGGCTGTCCGTGCCTAAACCCGTTATCTAAACAATTACCCAGATCTTTTATACTGCACAGATGTAAGGTGGCCCGGCGAGGGAATTTCCTGGAAAGGAAAGCTTTAATCATTTACTACCGGAAATAATTTGATTCCTGAGTGAAGATGGAGAAAGATGTACCTTGAGCTTCAAGGTAAAGGTAAAATGATTATCGAATTAATAAGTTCCACAAATGCATTTAGCGAAGGGTATTCACTGGGCATACTGCCATGACCCACATAACGAAAGATCATCTTATTTACATTTTTAGCGCATTTTCCAACTTATGTGAGAAGGCGTTATTGTGGCCATTTCCGTCCGTTCGCCCGAGGCTTTAATTACTCCTACAGTTTTCAAGATTGCCTTTGGTAGCTTATAGCTCTGGCACCTCAACAAGCAAAATCTTGACGACTAATGTGTGTTTGCGCAAACTGCGCATTGTTAACTGTAGTATTTATGGAAATTTTGTTGAAATTTTAACAAAAGATTCTTCTACTAAAGGCAAACATATCGCATATTTTAAACATCAGTTATGCGCCTGCCTAGACTGCGCTATTGGGAGCTATTGCATTGGGGTACCCCTCACTTTTTTACGGATAAACACCTTTTGAAGCACCAGGAATCCGAATCAAACAAAATCTTGATGATGTCGGTCCGTCTGACCCTCATTTCAGACTGAACGGCCGAACCGATTGGAACCAAATTTCCTAATTGCCTTGAATTTGTTATTTATACAGGTTCCTGCAACAGTGCGTTGGTCTTTCTTCGCTTATACCTAGGAAAAAATATAAAAAAACCTTTTGTGCAATGTTAACTATACATGGTTGATCTTTAGAAATGTACAAGGTGTCACATTTCTACGTTGTAAATAACTAACTTGATTTTTTTTAATAGAACACCCTGTATAATAATAATAAAAAATAAAAGAATACTGGAATTAAATAACTGTCCCAAATTAATTTCGTAGCAAGAAATAAGATTAATTAAAAAGGCGAATTTAAAAAAAGATGAACCAGTCTTTTTTTACTACGAAATTGAGACTACATTTGCAGTAAATAATTAATTTGTGACACTTGTTTAGTTTCAAGCATTTGTTTTTTTCCGCCTACTCCGGTGTATAAACATTAATTAATTAATGGGTAACTTGCGAAAATTAGTGAATAACCTAAAAACAAGGAATTTACCATTTCATTGTATTGTATCACTAAATCCAACTTTTTCATTATCAAAGTGTTGGGCTTTATTCGGATTAACAATATAGCTCAAAAATATTTTTTAACTTCGGAAAACAAGGTCGCTACGATTCATAAAATAAGGCTTGCCTTATTCGGGAAAAAATTAATAGGATGGCAAATCAAAAGATGAATAGGTTTAAATGTAGAGGTTAACAAATGACCTCGAGACAACTAACAATATACAGGATTCTATTTAAGAAAACGGAGATTTATTTACACCGTAAGAATGAGACACCCTGTACATTCATAAAAAATAATTTCTATAGTTGACTTTTGCTTTGGTTTTTTATATTTTTTACCAGGTATGAGCTAAGAAAGAACACGCATTATGTGTTGCACTGTTGCAGAACCATGGATAATTTCGCCATGATCCTTGAAAGTCGCGTACGAAGTTTCTCATGTGTGGGCCCTGAGCCTTTGCGAAGGTTTTTTAAGGTAGCAAATTTCCTGAAAATTTCTCCGATAGGTATTCTCGCACGATTAAGGTGTTGTGCGCAGGTGCACCATCCTGTTGAAACCAATAGTTTCTAACTTTTGTTTTTTTTGTGTACTTTCTTTTTGTCTAGCAGGAATGAAAGCAAAAAACACAATTTAATTAGAGGTGTCTATGGGAAAGCGAACAGTATCCTCCCCATAATTAATGGGACAGGAAGTAGCAAAGAGGTTACCTTGAAATAAAAGGGAGCGGCAGATATTTATGTGCAAGAAAAAGCAGAAGCTGTCAGCTATTGTTAATTGCACTTATTTAATTGGCCAGATTGACTCTAACTCTAAATTTTATTATGTTTATTAAATAATGACTTTCAGTTGGAGCATTTCTCACTATCTTATTTACATCATAATATTTACACTACATTGCCAGTTTATAAAATTATTTCCCCCATACAGAGACGGAAGGATTCAAAATTAACACTATGGGCACATATCACGGCATGACCTTAAAATCTGTAACAGAAGGATCTACGAAAACACGACCGCAAGCTCCACAACCCACCGCACCTTTACCGGTTAGCGCGGCACGTCCGCCGCCCGGTGGTTTGTCTAAACGTGTCTCCCGCACGCCGATTATTATCATACCCGCCGCTACCACTTCCTTGATTTCCATGTATAACGTCAAAGAAGTCCTACAGGATCTGAAGTAAGTCACCTGTTACTTTTTATCTGTAATTTATCATTTTTATTTTAGGTATGTATCAACCGAGCAGAAGAAGAGGGAAGGAGCGCGACGTGACAACGAAGTGTTGCTTCAACGCCAGCGCAATGGAGTGTCAGTGCCTTACAGAGTTGTAGATAACCCGGCAAAGTTGAGTCCGAGCGATTGGGATCGTGTAGTCGCTGTCTTCGTTATGGGACCCGCTTGGCAATTTAAAGGGTATCCTTGGGAGAATCCCGTCGAAATATTCGCAAAGTGTAAGGTATGACAATTTACCAGCCTAAATTGACGTTACAAATTTTAGTGTGCGCCTTTCATTTAAAATATGACGAAATGAAGTTAGATGCAAATGTAGCACGATGGGCTGTGACTGTTATTGAATTGTCAAGGACGAAACGACATTTAGATCGAGCTGCAATAATGGTGTTCTGGGAACGATTAGATAAGTATGTGCTTCCCATGGTATCTATAAAATGTAAAGTTCTTCCGTTTTAGGTATATTTTACAGTTCAAACCTCACTTACGTTTTTAGAAATGTTTTTAATTTATATTCGAGGCGTGTTTTGAAGGAAGTGACTGAACTACCATCTTGAGTTACATTTGACTGAGAATATGTACATGTATTTTTTTTGTAATTCAAATCCTTTTATTGTAGTAAAATATTGAATATGTTTTATTTGCAGTAATATTTGCATTTCTGTTCATTTCAAAACTTGACCAGAAATGCAAGCATTGACCTGTATGAGTTTCAATAATAAAATGTAATAAATGATATGTAGAGAGGACATTCGTGGAATAGATGAAGGCCCCATTGTTACATAAAATATTATGTGTTTAAAATTGTTTTATTTAAAATCCTATGCCTATAAAAATAGAGATCAATACTACGCCAATCTGTTCGTTTTTTTTGGTTTATGAAAATTTCACTTCCTAGCGAACGTGAACGAAAGTATGTCTGGCGATAATGCGGGTTTTGACTATTTATTAGAGCACTAATTAGCGAGCGATCAGGTACACTCTTTCTGCTGAGTTCTATCGATGAAAATTTATTCTGAATTTCGCATACCATTTTAAGTGCGTTGCAATTGAATTCTTAGCGAAGTTATACAAGCAAGTGCGTACCATTTTTGGTACGAGAAATTTTATTTCGCGTATGTGGTTCAAGAACCAAAATGTGCATTGATTGAGTGAAATTTATCATGGTAGTAGTAAAAATTAATTAATTAAATTGAGGAAATAATATATTAAATAGTGAGAACTCCCAAACTTCGAGTATGTTGTGGAGAAATATTTAAACAAATTATATATTGTGATAGACTCGTATTTACCTGCAATTTTATGTGTGCGAATAAACGAATTGCAGTAAATTTAGGGACGAAGAATAGTTATTTATATAACAAGAGCGCGAATTTCAATTTCGCGCATTGAAACTGAAGGTATTTTGAAGAGGCGAAGCCGAGTCAAAATATCAGTCAAATGCGCGAAATAACTTCGCGTCAGCGTTATATACAATATTTTTTTTCTATTTCGGTGTTACAATGAGAATTTTGTGCAACTGTTTTCGGCAAAAACAGTGTTTCAATGAGTTCCATTGTACCATTGTTTTTGATAACTTTTCATCTCTAAGTTGGCAGTTCGCCAAGACGTCAACGTCAAATCATCAGATGTGAAATCAAATTACGTACGTAAAATTTATGTTTTCCTTGATTTTTGGTACACGAAGAACTTAATACATTCCAAATCAGCAGTTTACACATCCACCATAAATAAATTTATCTACGAATAAACAAGTTGTAAATCAGCATATGCATGATTAAAGCGCATTTTTGGTAATGCAGGTCAGTATTTTATTAGCGAAGTTTAAAATTATCGATCTCAGGAGTAATTTTGGCTGCGTTAAATAATTAATTTTATTTAATTTCAATTGACGGTACGTTTTCATTTTGTAAAACAAATAACAAAGTAAATAATAAGTTTTTATACTGGTAGCGCTATCTAACGGTAAAATTATAGCTCCTCCGAAACCCATATCGAATTTATTTTCATCAATTATCAATCTCACAAGTAATCTAACTCAAAATAGACTAGTGCCTGCACATATACACTATAGCAGAAAGCTTTTAGTGAAAATTTGAATTCTCTAGCTATTGTAGTTGTGGAGAAGCCGGCCTGCCAGCAATAACGAATATAATAGCGTATTTTTTTCAAAAATGCGCTAAAAATTACACATTCACGGAATTTAAAGTTTCCAAATGTCAGTGTTGTGTTTATCTACGCTGCCAACTTAAAATTTGTCAACATAAATGGTGTTGCCAACTTAAGACATAGGTATTAATTCTAAAGTTTCCTGTAGTTTTTCATAATTACTTTTTAATTAAATTAAAGCCCCGAAATAGAAAAAATAGTATGAAAAACACATGTTACAATGCTTTATTGTAATACTCCTATCTTGTGGACACTCGTGGCTCCGCTTCGCTACGCCACTCGTGCCACAAAATAGTCGTATTACAATAGGTCGCATTGTAACACTTGTCTTTCAATATACTATTTTCTATTTCGGTGTCACAATGATGATTTTGTACAACTGTTTTCGGCCGAAAACAGTTGTACAAAGACAGTGATTATAGTCGTTTTTTTTGGTAACTCATCTTTTAAGTTGGCAGTTACTAGTTAGTACAAGTAGGTAGTTCGTTGGGTACTTCCCAGAGACATGGAGAGAGGAGATCGCTGATCGACGAGTGCGCATCCAAGAAAGGGTGCGACCTCATGGGCGCTGCCATTTTTACACCCGTTGTGTCATGTTGTGTTTATAGTGGTGTTATTTTAGATTGTGTTCGTGTTTAGGAGAGCTTTTTTCGAGGTTTAAGTGTTTATTTTGTAACGTCAACGTCACTGGCATTTTCTTTTGTTCATTTGGATTGAGATATTAGTTTCTTCCTACGGAGCTGCTGCCGAATAGAGTGTAGTGTATGAAGATTGCGTTAGATGTCTCTGGGTTGCGTCAGTAAACCTTTATAGTCCTGTCAAATTTCGCGCTTCAATGGGTGTCAAAATGGCAGCCCCCTTGTTTTGTCACTTCGCGCAGTTTCATGCGCTATCTCCTCTCTCCATGTCTCTGGTACTTCCATGTTTGAACTTCAAAATGTCAGTCTTACTACGCTGCCAACCTAAAACTTAACGGCATAAAAAGTGTTCCCAACATAAAACATGTTAGTTCTAATGTTCCCTATAGTTTCTGATAATGATTTTTTTAATTAAATTAAAGCACCGAAATAGAAAAAATAGTATGAAAAACGCGTGTTACAATGCTTTATTGTAATACTCCTATCTTGCGGACACTCGTGGCTACGCTTCGCGTCGCCACTCGTGCCACAAGATAGTCGTATTACAATAGGTCGCATTGTAACACTTGTCTTTCAATATACTATTCTATTTCGATGTGGAAACAATACCGAAACCTTACTTGATTGGCCCAGTTTGCGTGCGTTTCTAGACAGAAATGATGCCGAAAGAAATAGAAACGCATTATTTTTTTTATTTTGTTGGATTGGTACCCCTCGCTTTTTTGCTGTCAACGGTATCCGTCAAATCAAAACTAAACAACCTGTAAAGTGTAAATAACGTACGAGGAACTTGACCGATTGTATTAATTCCGATTAATTTTGAATATATACTCCAAAGGGTAGAACTTTTTTTATTTTTACTTAGCGTAGTAAAATATGCCAGCAGTACATTCTTGCTTACTTTTTGAACTCCCCTTCTCGGCCAGCCAGTTTTCAAAAATTTTGTACTCCTCGTACTTTACTTTCGATTTTACAGGCAGTAAATTTAACGTCGCTTCATTGGCAATCTCTTATGGATCTCTGGTGGGGTACAAGAGACGTGTTTGTCATCCGTATTTATCATAACTGCCGCAAAATGGAATTATGACCAAATAATTAAAAGTTTGAAGTTTGAAAATACAGGAATCAGGTTAGCCAACGTGAAAATAAATGAATTGTGTCTATTACCAACATACACTGAATGATAGTTTAAAATTACCTAACAACGCCTAAAGGCAATATTTATAATTTGTATAATTTATTATTTAAAATAAAAATCGAAATAGAAAAAATAGTATAAAGCACACGTGTCATTTGTCTACTTGTCGCACTCGGCTTTTGCCGCATTCGCCGCTACGCGGCTTATGCGGCAAACTACCTCGTGCGACAATCTTCGTCAAATGACACTTGTACTTTAATATACTATTTTGTCACCCACCACCAAAATTATGACACTAGCAATGACAGTTTCCAAATTATTTTTGTTACCATAGCATAGGGTCTGTCGTACCAACGCAACGTTCCTATGGTAACTGGTTAATCAGCGATTTTTTGAAAGAACGCGTTCTCTAACTCCATAGTGTTTCATTTTCGGAAGTACGAAAAATATCGTATATACCTTGCGACTGAAGTAGTGGTCTTAATCCCTCAGGTAAATTATGGCCCTCCCTTCGGTCGGGCCATAAACTTTACCTTCGGGATTAAAAGTACTACTTCAGTCCCGCGGTATATAATATACTATGCGATCAGAAATGAGTTGCTGTCGAGTCGCCTTTGAAATTTTTGTTTACATGGAAAATCGTATTTAACTTGAACTTCCAAAGGCGACTCGACAGCAACTCATTTTTGATTGCCCGTTACTATTTTCTATAACTGAACCGATTGTTAATTAAATGTACCCAAAATCCTCATGAAACCTTCATTTTCATGCCTTCTTTATATTTATATCAGGAAAATGTCTACTTTTCTTGCCGCCTGTCACTTTACCGGCCGCACTTGTCACTTTTCCTGCCGCACCTGTCACATTACTAAATGTCGATAATGACTCCTGTCATCATTGACAGATTGGCATTAATCTGATTAATCAAAAGTTCTATATGAAAATTGAAATTTTATATTAAAATACGATTTCGGGTAAAATTTAATACAAAACTCGTCAGTAAAATGAGATTCCTTGACTCGGATATTAAAGTACTCAGGGGCCTTATGCTTCAATATTTCCTCGCCAGTAATATGTCATTTTCCTGACTTTTATGTAAATAACTATTGCTGTTTAAGTTCAACTTTGTCATGTGTGCGAAATACCTTTTTTCATTATTGACGGTTTCGCGCACGTTGTCAAGAGCAACCTTACTTATTAATTAACCGTTTAAAAATCTAGTACTTCGTGTTTCGAAATTCGTCAGAAAATGACAGGTTTTTCTGACAGTTGTAGAAAAAAACTTTGTAGCAGCAGGGCTTTTTATTTACGGGTGGTAAAATATACGCGAAGGAACATTTTCAAATCGGAGAACCGCTTTTCAAATAAAAAACGGGGTCATTTTTTACCCCAATGCAATACCTCCCTTACTAACGTGCGGCCAAGGATACTATATAATATAAGGATTGCTCGATCACTGAATTTTTTCGCCGCGTGTAGTGACGTCACTCGCGGACCCAGTACCAGCGCATGCTTTGATTAAGGCCGATTCCCATTATAGCAGCATCGAGCAGCGCGGCGCGGTGAAAAGCTGCTCTCAATTGTTCGCATGTAAATAAGTAGATCCGTTTTCACCTAGGCAGAGCGGTGCAGAGCAGAGCGGAGCGGTGCAGCGCAGCAAATTTTAAACGCGTCGGGAAGCATTGGAATACGCGGCGCTGCTTTGAAACGCGCCGCTCTGCGTGTAGACGGACAAGTGGGAATCGAGAAGCGAAGCAGATCGGCGTGGTGCTGCGGCTTGTGAAAAGCATTCATTTGTCTTCTGTGTTGAGCTTGCGTGTGTTAGTGGATTCGCTATGGACGGACAAAGAATAGAAAAATTAATTGTACTCGTCCGCTTTTTTCTTCTTCTTTTTTCGTCGTGTACATGGCATGGCACAGTGCCGCTATAAATATTGTGAAATCATCTGGTGATGATGACGATGATGGCTCTTCTTCGAGCGTGTAAGAATACATTCTCCCTTAAACTGAACACAAACAGAAACGCTGCTTCGTCACGCTTCCAAATGGTGCTTAAGTGGGAATACCCCTCTACAATTTGCTGCTAGCGACGCGCCGCGCTGCACTGCGCCGCGCCGTTCGGTGCTGCTCTAATGAGAATCGACCTTTAGGATTACCATAAAATACGTTCAAATGGGTGTTGTAGGCAGGCATTTAAATTAGAAACACTTATCCATTAATCTCGCTTGCAGCACCATATCCATTCCTTGCGTATTAATCCATCGGTTTTAGGGAAGTTATGGTAAATGACTTCCGGGTTAGTGATTTTTGTGCAAACACGGCTGTTGTTACAGTCTAATATTGCACATCGGCGGCTTGGCGTCCATTCAAATACGTTCACAACTTAGCAAATTATAACTGTCAATTCTGACAGCCAGGTCCGTTGGTGACGTCACATATGACTTAAACTTGGGCAACATTACAAGTATAGGGATCGAGCAATCCTTATATTATATAGTATCCTTGACGTGCGGCCGTCGTGCCCTTAAATTCGTTGCGCGTGCTTTAAAGATTTGATTATACACTTGTCTTGTAATATACTATTAATTGTATCATTGAATATGTGGTTTTTATTGAATGATTGTATGTTGTATCTATATCAATCACAAACAATATGAAAGTACAATTTTCAATTTCGGTTGTCATTTACTGCCATAAATTAATTAAAATCACGATATAAGTATTAAAGTAGTAAAATTATCAGTATTAACACCTAGCCTATAGAATAATGGCTAAAGATAGACCTCATCACAAATTTTACTGTCATGTGCAGTTTGAGAATGCCTCATTTGCTTACTCTTAAAACCTCTCCATCAACAAATCTTTTTTCTAAAACTTTACATTGTCTGGGAGGTTTCATAGAACAATTGGAAACTGCAGCTGAAAATGTAAGGGTGTGGGGGTGGATGTTGACATGGATAGCGACGACGATGATGAACCTGACAATGTAAACAATTGAATTAGGACATTTTGAATTTTAGATATTACTTTATCGAATGGATTTTGTATCGCCCAACCCATCCGAAATTAGAAACAGCAGTCGTGAAAGTACCCAATATACCTACTTCTAGAAGAAGAATGTACGGAACAAGTGTAGATCTTCGTCACCGAATTGCAATACATCTAAAAAGTGAAAAGAAATTTGATTCGGCTCAAACGACCAATATCTTGTAGCACTAGTTTCTTACAAATTTATACGTGGAAAACTGTCTCGCACTTTAAGACTACTCTAGTGTTGGTTTATTTTGAATAAACTTTGCCAAAAATGTGGTACCTATTTTACGTTTATTTTTATTATTTAATGGTTATAATTTAACCCCGATTATTTTATACCTACTGTATGAAAATGTGCAAGGAATCACGAATGTAATGTAACATAATTACGACGTTTACGGTTGGACTAAGGGTGTGATTTTTTTAAATGTTTTTTTGATTTTCATAAGACATACTCTCGACTTCGGTGGCTACACGTGATGGCATTTTTGAAATTGGGGTATTTTACATTTTGCAACGTCAAAGATGTCGGTCGATCGAATTATAGCAACCTCGTAGAGATCACCCTTGGAGCAATTAGCGGTTCGTTGAACTTTTTTCTGTAGTTGTACAAATAACTATTTCCACCCTGTAAAGTTTAACCCCCTCCAATTTATTTTTCCCGTTAAAAGCACGATAGGTATTATTTTTTCTTTCCAATGATTCTCATCTGTAAATGTCGAAAGTTCTATTTTTTGGTGATTAGTAATGAAAAATGTGTTTTAAGTGCCGAAATATTAAAATTGTGGATTTGTATTACGGTAGGTTGGACATGTCTGTTGCAATAGGAGCGCTGTAATCGCGGCTTCCTTTGATCTTACGGCTTACATTCCTGCTGATATGCCACTTATATAGTCCTACCAGTCGCTCAAAGTTCCCTTGTATAATAGCCAGGATGATTAAAATCTAATTATGACCGTTTCTAGTAATTTTGAAGTTTGTACGTCATTGCGAAGGTCACGATTAGGCCTTGGAAATCGTAATTGTCGGAAACTTGGGGCATTTTAACGGAAAATGGTTTCGATGAAGTGGTAGGACTAGCACTCACGGCACTCTTGTGAAGTTTTATCTTTGAAGCGGTCGTTTCGCCGCGGCATGTTCATTTGTAAACTGAGTTTCTTGAAGAAAACAACGTTCTACGCTCGACCTCCAACATGAAACGTGACAGAGTTTCATTAAGTTTTATAACAAATTAAAGTTTAGTGTTATATAATCATTTTTGTAAACGTAGACGTGGAAAATGACGGTGCGGATCGTCGTATTGTTGTTGTTTATTTGTGCGGCCGTCGCCTTCTCCGATTCGGCGATGCCTCGATGTGAAAAGATATCAACAACTTTGTGTCAGCACTTGGGATACAACACGACGATGATGCCTAACTTTATGGGACACGAAGATCAAAGGGACGCCGCTTCGGGAGTAAGTTTCATTTACTGTACCTAATTAAAATGCCCACGTTTTTTATGTTAATATCGCATTTGACGTAGCTACGTATAAGTACAAGGTTGCGATACGCACCCGAAATAGAAACGTTTCAGGTAAATTTTACAAGGGCAATAAAAGCCACCAGGTTTATTGCCGGGATTAACAGTTATCGGCATCTTTGACGTCCGATAAATTGCCTTTGTCGGCTCGCCATCGGGCCGCATCCGCTGTGTAATTACGGCTAATTACCTCGGGAGTTACGCAATTAAATCGGCTATATCAGAAATAGACAACAAATAACAAGCGCGCCTGCCTGTTTTTGGGTTGTTATTTCTTTTGTTGCGCGGAGGCTGTGGACAAGGACCCCCGGGTCGACTAAAAGCTGCTTACTAGAAAGGTAATCAAGCATGCCTAGGCGCCTTGAATGCGAAGCCGCCTTGTCATTATCCAGTCTGGTTTAAACCCCCGAGCACCACCCATCTGAAAAAAAAAGGTTCTAATAACGTCCTTTTCATTTATACCTCTCGCTTCACCTGCCTTTATAATTTGAAATGACGAAAATTCTTCGCGATCCGGCCGCTACAAGTTTTTCTTCGCGCTTAGAAAAAAACTAAATTCCGTAAATTTATGTGCGAACGTAAAAAAATAGGTTCGTCAGCGAATCTGGTTTTTATTTCCCATTGTTTTATTCAGTTAACGACCTTCGCGTTCCCTCAATCGCCTCTAATTTGAGTTCTTCTTTCAGCTCGAAGTCTACAAGGACCTCCTAAATCATAACTGTTCGTCATTCTTGCGCCTCTTTGTTTGCTCCGTTTTCATACCGTTATGCTCGGAGCACGTCCCCGGAGCGATACCGGCCTGCCGCGGCCTCTGCGAGGAAGTCAAGAGGGACTGTTTCGCAACACTTCAACACGCGCGCGTCGGATGGCCCGCCGAATTGGATTGCTCGAAGTAAGTTTTAATTATTGTCTTTTGTAACCCGTGTAACTAAAGTCGCCCGCACGCAGGTTTCCGGAGCCGCCTAATCTTTGCATGCAGCAGCCGTCCGAGGACGACTTGAAAGACGTTTCGAGCGAGCACTTCCACAGCTTCAAGAATGCGTCGCAGTTGTGCTCCCCGGGCTCGATTTTGGGAAGCAATCGAATGTGCCTTAAGAAGTGCGATAACAATGATACCTACAGCTACGGGGATAAAAGGGTTTATAGCGTAAGTGACAAAATGCAGTCGGTTCAAAATTAATAGTATATGACATAACGAGCGCTGAAAGCGATAATTACACACATACTCCTGTTGTTATTGTCATACTATGATTACACTATAATACGTTGAAACGAGGGTGGAAAGCAAAAAGTGAGTGTTTTACTTTCGGCGAACAAATGAACTAAATATAAATATTCACGCAGACTTAATGGGACTTATTATTTTCGAATGGAGTGGTAAGCAAAGGATAGGTACCTAGTCCAATACCATCCCGTTTTCGTATTTCACGTACTTTTCTACTTCTAGTGAACGCATTTCCACCCGAAATTATTTGGGCCGTCTCTAGCGACCACGCTGCGTATGCTTTGTTTATGTAAAAATCCCAAACTATATTAATTTTCACACATGATAAAGAGCAACAAGTGACAATATAGCCTAATTCTCGCGACGGATGAAAAATGAAAAAAAATTCGTTGAGGTGATGGGTTTTGTCTGTCCGTCCATGTGTTCCGTGTCTAACTGCAGAATAAAAAGAGACAGCTATGTCAAACCTTCCCCAATCGATTTCTAAGAGTTCTTGACTATGAGCCGGATTGAAAGTCGTGTTTCCAAATGCGAGCTCAAACGATCTACTGCATAACTGCACTGTAATTCTGAGTGCAATTTTTTATGAAATTCAGTAGCAGCCTTATACTATAAAAAACCTGTGCGCATTTTCACTTTGTTGTTGGTTAACATTAAATAGAAAAGAAATGCTAACTATTCTATTCAATCTAAACATTGAATAAAAAATTAATTTTTTATTCAATGATCTAAATCAAGAGACATTTTGAAAAACAGGGTTGCGCATGCCTACTATTAAAAATTGGCGTTATTCTGTCATTCCGTAAAAATTCAATATGGTGGCCATAAGAAACAAGAAAGTATTAACATTTAACTTCTACATCTAGCGCGCTATGGAAATTCTGATAACATATTCAGATTCTCCAAGAAAGTGCCCATAAAAGGTGCGTCCATTCCCTACCTTTTAAGCTAGGGAAAATGAAAACGAAATTTGACACTTTCAGTTTTTCGATGATATCTCAGTTATTTTCAAAGATTTTTCAAAAATTTCAAGTGCGTTATGTTAGTAAAAAAAAAGGGACAGGTTTGCCCCCAATTAACCTACATTTTATCTTTAACCGTTGCGGAGATCTCAATGGGGAGCTACGATTTTGAACCACCCTGCACAATGTTCTGCTTAATTTTCCAAGGAAATTAGCTGTTGGAAGGTGCCACAATCTGGAACTAAATTTCCAAAGTGGAGGATGCCATCAAGAGTAAAGTGTTAGTTAGCCAAGTAAGAATAAATTTAAAAGTTGAGTGTGTGTCCGCTTTGCCGTTTCAAAACTTTGATTTTGAATGTGTGTTTTGTTCAACCTAGAAAAATTTACAACATACCGCTTCATAGTGAACTTGCACAAAACTATGTCTGGCGATAACAAGAAAAGAATTGCATTTAATTTCAGTGCGTACGTTCAGCCGATACAACTGTTGACTAACACCGTCAAACGTGTTTTTTTGTATGTATTAGTAAACCGTAAACGTCAACATGTACCTGAACGGTTCTGTTGTGCGCTTTATCATCTTTAATCATGTCAATATCAATGGTTTGTAAAAGCTTTTTTAAACGGATCCTTAATAGTATACTTATTATTAAGTCGCGTTTTAAAAAGCCCAAATTTGAAAGAAAGAGTTTTGTTTGATTGTAGAAACAAGACACCTTGTAATGTACAATTGTCTTGTGTCGGGACACTATGCAATATCAGTTTAATTTTAAGATTCCTATACAAAACCGCTGTGCAGAAATAATTATTTTAATTTTGGCAGAAGAAGCAATGAGGTAATTAATTACTACCTCTGAAATTAAACAAGTAAAAAGCTTTTCGCCCTAAGGCGAGTAACTTCAGCGCATTTTCCATAAATTGATCAATACTTCCCCAAAGGCCATACCTATGTGCGATATGTTTTTCATTACTAGAGGCATATATGGTTAAAATTTTAAAGAAATATCTTCATAAATAAGGAAGTTGACACTTAATGCGCAGTTGATATTGCGTGTCCTGCGCATGCGCTTATTAATCTGATATTTACAATCTGCAATACGTTTGCTTTTACTAAAGCATCTTTGGTTAAAATTTCAAAGAAATATCTCCATAAATAGGAAAGTTGACATTGCGCAGTCTGCGCATGCGCACATTTGATTTTTACAATATGCGATATATTTGCCTTTACTACAAGTATCTTTGAATCTGTGATTAAAATTTCAACAATATATATTAATAAATAAAAAAGTTAACATTGCGCAGTTCAATCGTCAAGATCTTCCTTGACTCAGGTGCCAGAGCGATACACTACCGAATGCAAAAAGAACGGAACTAAATATCTTGAAAACTGTAGGAGTAGTTAAGGCCTCGGACAGACGGACGGACAGAGAAAGTGGCTGCAATAGTACACCCAACTTCGTTGGAAAATGCGCTAAAAAATATATGGAAAACAAAAGCTGAAATTCACCTGTGTCGTTTTCTTAGACAGACCCAATTCTATTTATACAGGGTGCAACAATTAAGCATGTAAATAATTGAAAAAATTTTCAATTTTGGATCTTTTGAGGACGTAGGTAACATTTTGGACTCTTGGTTTATTTGAAAAAGTATTTCGGTCTTTCGGACGTGGAACCGAGGGGGTTTAAGGACAATGCCGATTAAGGATCAATGGAGGGCCGAGAGGTGCTTCTAAGTAATCACTTTTTTATGATTTTTTTGTAATAGAAAGCGCATTTCCAAATCAGAAAAATCAATTTTTTTCTTTTTTTCTCTAATTTCGGCTATTTTTCGATGACTTTTATGACTACGTACCGAGCAAAAAATTCCAAACGACATTGTGATGTAAAAAAACCGTAACAGCTTATCAATTAATAAAATAAGCCTTGCACGATATGCCTAAAAATAGATAGTTGTCCTGGGGGAATTTTGGGAAAAAGATTCGGGATGGGCGTTTTTATAAATTCTTGTATCGCCGAGATTGTACTATGAATATCAAAGGATTGCATTTGGCATTGATTCGAAAACTAATTTTAATTTTTGTTTGTAGGCCTGGAGTATGTTTTGGACCTTCGCGTGCCTTATAATCACCACATTTACCTTACAAACGTTCCTGACCCAACCGAAACGTTTCCGGTGGCCGGCCAGACCGATCCTATATCTGTCGTTCTGCGGATTCATTAAGGCGGTTGTCTATCTGATACGTTGGATTGTAGGGCCGTTTATCTGTCTAGGTGAGTCTCCTGTACGAAAGGTGGGTCGGATTGCAGTGTTATGCTTTGCAGGTGCGACAGTATTGGAGAAACCAACCGATAGCCTGGGCTGTACCTCGGTCGCGCTTCTCATAGTTTACTTAGATGTCGCCACCACTCTGTGGTGGACGATCTTCTGCTTCGTATGGTACCTGAGCGCCGCAAAGGAGTGGTCGACGGAAGCGTTGGAGAAAATCTCCGCAAGACTGCACGCGTTCGCGTGGGCTCTCTCAACAATACCGTTAGTGTTCATTTTAATTACGAGAGACATTCGACTCGACGAACTTACAGGTTTCTGTGAAATCTTCAGCATCCCCCTGACGATTGCACAACTGTGCGTCGCAGGTGTCGGTTGCTGTTTAGCCGCGTTTACCTCCGTCGCGCTTAAAAACGTGCGCAGGGCACTCATGTACGAAGGCAGGAGCCCGTTCAAATTAGAAAGGTTGATATTGCGACTCGGTATTATTAGTTTAGGTATTTGCGTCTGTACTTGTTTTAGTTTAATTTGCAACTTTTTTGAGAATTTCTACGTCACTCTATTGAAAATCAGTTTGCAATTCTTGGGTGCTATTATATCCTCGTCTTGGGTGTTTTCATCGAAGACTTTCAAAAATTGGAATAAAGTATTACGACCAAAGTCGTGTCAAAAAATATTAACTCATCTGCCTTCTACTAAGGTGTAAAATGACAAATATGTCGATATTCAACACGTGTGATATTAATTAAGGTTAGTTTTAAGCAGTATTAATAAAATTGTTGAAGATGAAGCTCAAAGCTATATTGTAACTATTTGTGAATAATACTTTTAACACTGTATTTTTCTGTACATTTTGTAAGCAGTCAGGTACTGCACGCTTGAATTAATATAATAAGTACAATGTTTTAGAGGAATTTTTTGAAAGAAAAAAAATTCCCCTTAGATGAGGTTTTGTCCGTCGGTTCCCCGTCTAACTTGAGACGGCGATGTCAAAGGTTCGCCAATGGATTTCTACGAGTTCTAGGATCAGTGCTAGTGAATATGAGCCGGATTAAAAGTCTAGTTTCCCAATGCGAGCTAAATGGCAAAAAATTCAATTCCCCGCGCGATTTTTCGTATTTTTTTTAGTACAAAAGTGGTAAAAAATTGAATTTGGTTGAATTGACCAATATGTCTGCTATCTTAATTTTGCTGAGTATTCACAAAAGTTATTTGGGCAATTGGCCGCTGTAATTTATTTACTACTAACACTTTTATTGCTAATTATTACAGAACATTTGATAGAAGTTTAATTTCACTGACTGTCTTTAATTAGAAGTCATGACCAACCCCACTAATCGAATACTTTGTACATTCCAGTTTCAGCGCCGCTACAGAGTGTACCTACTGGTTTTCAAACGCCCGTCTTGAATTTCGGGGTTGAAAAACGATTTCGGTTACAAAATGTGAAGCGCATACCATGTCCTGCCCAGCTAGTGCTCTCCCGTACACTCGCTCCTTTACGTCGATTATTTTTTAATTTTTTTGTAATACACACTCGTACAAAAATTTTAATGAAGAGTGTGTGACTCCCAAAAGTTTTGACATTCAATTGTTTGTTGATTTATGAAGTTTTTCCAACTGCTTTTCTAATGCAAATTCATTTAAAAATTCTGATAGAGGCTAAACGTTAAATTAAAACTTAACTACTTTGGATACTAGGTTTACAATTTTATTTAAACTGTTTAAAATTGATAAAGATTTTTCTTTAAAAACAAAAATGTCAGATTCACATTGTGTATAGACATTTGTTGTGAAGCTATATGATAAATTGAACTATTCAAATTACGTTAGTGGTTGGAACAAAAAGGCGTATGACTCAAAACGTTTGACAATTACCCTTCCCCTAACTAAGTAAGATGACCTAGCTAGGACTTTCGATTCTTAACCCACGCGCCCCGTATACCAATGCCGAGCGAGCCGAAGGCAAATTCGGCCTAAACCAACCGCCGTCCCGAATTTCGGGGTTGATAAACGATTCCGGTTACAAAATGCGAAGAGCTCGGCATAGCTCGAGCGCGCCCTTCTTACGACGAAAATGGCTCGCATTTTTCGTACACCAATGCCGAGCGAGCCAAAGGCGAGTTCGGCATAGGTAGGGCTCTCCCGTAGACCCGCCCCACCCCGTTCGCGGCGGCAAACAACGGTTGCATACGGCCAAACACGCGCCACGCCTTTTCAATCATTCATCTAAACCTAATAAAAAACGGCGATCTTTGCGAAAACGTAGATTGGTAACAAAATTCTGATTATTTTCGGCCACAAATGCTTGTAATAATAAAATAAAACAACCACACTTTTTGGAAACAGGTATTTCAACACCCACATGTGAATTTTGTTGGAAAACTATATAGAAGAAGTTGCCAATGACGTAAAAAATGGCAATGTTACCATGTATGGTGCTGCCATTTCGTAATATCTTTAGGTTGAAAATCAATTATTGACCAATTATGCCCCCGTGTCTAAAACAAGTATAATTTGTGCACAACTCCTGTGCAAATAAAGCGCATTTTTTTAAACCGAAATATCTTAGTGAATGGTTGCGTTCTATTCTAAAGTAGTAGCATACTATATTTTTCGATGTTTTCTTTCTTTTTAGACGATTAATGAGTATCATCATGCGATAATCTGTTGTTGGAATAAGGAATTAAAACAATAATCTTTATTAATTATAATATTTATTCTTCTTCTAAAGAATTATTTATATTCGATTACGATAAGCGAGTCGAGGAGGAGGCTATGGTTGGTAGAAAATTAATGCCTTTCGTCGTTGAGTACCATGAAGTATAAAACCAGACCTCCCTCCCCAAACTCCTCTTTTGAGGAGTCAGAAAGTAAGGCGTTAGTTGGTAGAAAAACAGTTCCCTTTGTTGAGACCTTTAATTGGAATACCATGAAAGATAAAATTAAAGTTATAATTTGTAGCAACCAATTAATTTCGGTGAGACCTTTCATTAGATACCCTGAAGAGTAGAACGTGCGTTCAAACTTGAAACGCACGTGAAACTTCAACCGGCTTTATGGTTCAGTGGTAGAGCATTGGACCAAAGAGTATAACCACAGATTTAGAGTGATCTGTGATATAACGTAATCTTTGATTGAACTATAAATCGGTCGGGTGTTCGAACCTGGGTTGAGGTGAATTTTTCATCTGTGGCAAAGATGGGAATTACCTTAGACCAGTTTCGAGCATTCTACCGGCTACTCCGAATCAGGTTTTCCTGCAGTTTTCCTAATTCGTAAGGTAAATACCGGAGTAGTATGATGCAACAACTTAAGACCTTCTGCAGAGGTAGGTACCTCTAAAAAGCATTATGTGGTTCACTCTGTAATTGGGCACAAGCCTGTTGAGGGTCCAGAACAAGAGAGTGATAAATAAAAAAAATAAATAAAAATTATTGCAAACGATAGTTTTTCAAATTTGACTGCAGTTTCAGAAAAAAATATGTGTAAAACTTGAGAAGAAGGTGTTTTTCAACTCTCGATCGATTGACACACTCGCTAAGCTCATGTTTCAAACTTTGCACTCGAGGTGAAAAACTCCACTTTCTTCTCTAGTTGTACAACCTATTATGTTATTCTGTAGTCTAGGATCAAAGCTAAAAGCGTGCAAAGATTATGTTGATCTTGTACTATGATCTTTGTAGCGACTAATTGAAATTCAATGGTAATTATTTCTCTATATCGTTGCAATACATGTAGTATGTTGGTTGCCTAAGCAATAGTTATCAATCCTTGTGGTTTTTTGCTTTATGTATTTGAGTTTTATCTTTATCGTACTTAGGAAATGGGGAGCGTACTTAACAAAACAGTATCAACTAATACAAAAACAATGGATGGCGGTCATTAAAAAAAACCACATTTACACCATGCTCTTTTGATATTAAACTTATTTCACTTTCACTAAAATCTGAGACTAATAAAAAACAAAAAGCGAAGGTATTGCTGTGTGCAAGCGGCTTTTGATTTTTCCACACATGAAGTAACTTTACCAAAGATCGCGTAATTAATTTGAATTAGTAGGTACGTGAATGCATAATTTGTGTACAAGATAAAACAAGACAGTAGGCACTGACCAAAGTTCACAATACAATTAAAAAAAGATCGGGCTATCAAGTAGGTATAAAGTGGTGGGCGAGCTCAAGCTGCCTTCAAACTTTTTATACACTCGTCGGTTATAGTTTTCTCATTTTAGTGCGAAGGAATTGCTACAAGCCGTCGCACTTTTTTGTACGTGGCGAAAGAACGTGGGCCTAATAACCTAGTCTGTTGAGTTGCAGTCGTTATCAATTACTCCATACTGTTAATTTCAATTTTTTTAAAATGCTGGCTCGAATTTTTTATGCGGCTACAACATTTTATTATTTTTTCGTTTTATGGTACGACCAAATGTTCGTAGATTTGAGCATTACGCAAAAATCGAAAGGGCCAGAAGTTTTCAAGGGACGACTGAAATTTTTGACTATCTGGAATATGGTAAGAAAAAATTTGGCAAAGCCTTTTTTAGTTGCAATAGCAAGACTGGGTGGTTACAGATTTAAAATATAGATGGCGCCGTTCCGAATTTTTAAATGTCGATTATTATTGATAACCTATAAAAAGTTATCACCTACAATAATGATTGTCGCAAAAGGCCAAAGTAATCCAAAAATCAACGGCGATTGAATTCATAAAAATGTCGTTCGTCGCCGCTTTACATTTAATGCAAGCTGCACACTTCTGGTTCGCTTGTTACTACGACTGGAACTACGTTAACGTCCCCGTCGAGGTTTACTCAGTGGGACTTACTCTTGCAACTGGAAAACTCAAATTCCTCACCTTTTGGAATGCTGTCTGTTTTTATATAAATTGACATCGGCAACTTTACTAACTCGATATTTTTACAGTTACTCCAAGCGGCATTTTTCACAATTTGTCTACTCAACAACTTCATTGGAACAAGCGAAATTAATCCCAAATCGAAACCCTTCATACGCAGAATTCGTGATACTGTAAGTAGGATCTGTTACGTAACGCATCTAACTGACTTTTCCAGGTTTTGGCCACACTAGCCTTGCCACTGTCGTTATTCGTCGGTCTATCGTTTTGGTCCATTTATGCGATCGACAGAGAACTTATATTTCCGAAGGCTTTAGACCCATTCTTTCCCGTGTGGTTGAATCATGCGATGCACACTAACATAATGATCTTCGTTTTGATTCAAACGTACATGTCGTATCACGAGTATCCCTCACGAAAGGTGGGAGTCTCTCTATTTATGGCCTTTATGGCCATTTATTTAGTGTGGATACACATCATTCACGCCCAGTCAGGTGTGTGGGTGTACCCGATATTGGAAGTTTTAAATTTCCCACTACGTCTAGTATTCTTTGGAGTAGCAGTGTGTGTCGGAATTTTCCTGTACATACTCGGAGAGAAACTGAATAAGATGCTATGGAGAAACATAGTTGAGAAAAATAAACGAAAGAAGCGCAACTAGTATAGATAACGTCAGCATTTCCACACCTTTTTTTTTTGAGAATAGGATTAGTGCAAACATCAGATCTTTACAACCTGTGCCTCATCTTACGGCAATAATTGATGTAATTTGTAATTATGCTAAGCTTTGACACGATTCAATGTTTGATCACTTAGAAGTAAAATGTACTGCTGGCAGTTTGCAGAGTGCTGCATTATACTTGTTGCATTGTTCGCAGTTTACCAATTTTTCTAGAATAAATACTTTTAAAAAACTGTTGAGTTTGATTGCATATTCCAACTTGCGCATTCTGAATGTATTAGAATTAACCAATAGTCAGAAATTTCTAATTTAAGGGGAAAAATCACACAGAAATTACATGTTTAATTCACGATTCTATCTATAGCGCGTTCGCACCTCCAGATTCAGTATGGGGTCTTATGGACTAATTGCCTTTCTTACTAGTTTGCGTCATTTTTCGATTAATACTATCCTTGTTTCTAAGCGCATTGATGTCAGATTGACATATGATTAAATGGAAGTATTGAAACAAAACATAATCTCCTTGTGCTGTCATTGTCACGTTTGGCAAACATGTACTGTATGTCCATAAGCAAAGAATACTTAATAAAATTACTCTTTGCCATAAGCACCATACTGAATTTGGAGGTGCGAACGCGCTATAGATTTTGAAACATGAGGGTGTAACCATTGAATTTCTTAAGAATTCAATTTATTATAAATTCAATGGTGTAACCAATATGAATCAGAATTAAGTGGCCGCAAAATAAGCTACAGACAGTAACAAATACTTGTGTCTTTTTTTCCTTCCAATCCAAAACAAACCATAAGTATTATCAAATGCTCTTGGAATATCTGTGGAATTTTTGACCACTGCTATACTTTTAAAATTCCTTGGAACTTTTTAAAGGCTTAGACACTCTTCTTAAAATATTAAAGCATTGATGACGCTCTGGCGGATTTTGGAGACTCATTGAGACATGGATTCTTAATAGTTATTTAACCAATAACAATTGAGATTGGAAGTTTAATTAATCAGTATCGCCAATTAACGCACGAGATGGTTACAATATTTTTCCGTCAATTGTATTTTAGTCTGTGGTAAAATACCCCTATGGTTAGGCAACACACATCACATTGAAAGAATGGCCGTATGGGAAAAAAATCATATACACAGTGTCCCAGATCTGGTGGGATTGCATGGGTAACTTTCTTATTATTAAAGATAGAGAATTGGTTAAATGGACAATGTTTTGCAGTTTTAGATGCTTATTTAAAATTTCCTTGTGGAAATTCAAAAAGTCGAATAGGTTCGACGTAAATTAAAAAAAAAACTAAAATTGGTCATTTCCTTTAACGTCTTATATCATCGAAAGTATAAGAGATATAAAAAAAAGTTTTATATAAAAGCTACTGTCTTTGATACTCTTCATTTAAAATTAATGTTAAAAAAATTCAAGATGGCTACTTTTGAGGACTAACTTTCTAAAGTTAAATAGGCGCCATATTGGATTTTTAGATTATTTGATAGATTTTTTAATTCTCTTCAACGGAGCTATCATAGCATAAGATTGAAAATAAGATACCTACCAGTTATATCAACGGTTTTTATATTTTAATCAAGTAGGCTATGATGAATTTAAAAAAAAACCAAACAAAATCTATTCGAGGCAACAAAACGATGAAAGTAATTACATCAGTGATGTTTAAAATATGAGGGGCGCACTCATGGGAGGGGGGTTTGGGCGTTACAACTCCCTCCAAAATTTTATATAAGTAGGCGTAGAAAAATTTTGACTTTTATGACGTCACTTATTGACTATCATATTATCCATCCTTACATACCTACAAAATGCTGGTATAACTACAAACTATCTCCTTGAAAAAATGCCATGCCATTATCCAGTTAAACACATTTCAAGACACTTCGATTTACTTTACACAATGTATTACCATTGATGCATTGTCCTGTCCCAGGCACATTTTGTAGGTGTTTTATCCGCAAGAATATCAAAACAGTTTTACCAGTTGGAGTAGGTAGGTATATGGACAGAATATGAATCTTATTTTTCTGCGGAGTGTTCAAATCGACATAATGAACACATACTCGTCACAGGAAAACCGAGATGAGTTTCACGCGGAAATCCTTTAAGATTTTGATTTAATGTATTATATAGCATAATGGGAAGTCATGTAATTGGACCGGTAATCTTCGATGGAACTTTTACTGCTCACCATTATTAACAAATTCTCCTTCCTTAAAGGATTTTCTCGACCTAGACAACGTATGTTTCGCAGAAATAAAACTTTTTTTATATCTCTTATACTTTCAATGATATAAGACATTAAAGGAAATGACCAAATTTAGTTTTTTTTGAATTTACGTCGAACTTATTCGACATTTTGAATTTCCGCAAGGAAATTTTAAATAAGCCTCTAAAACTGCTAAACATTGCCCATTTAATTCACCAATTGTCTATTTTTAATAATAAGAAAGTTACCCCCATGCAATCCCACCCGATCTGGGACACACTGTATATAAGAAAAAAATACGAAACGAGCTGTGTATATGTTACAGGCAATCTGCAACTACAACACTACAACAACCAGGAAATCTGCGCAGATACGGAGGAACAGGGATTTTTGCAATGAAGCTGGACAAAAAGTCTGTAACAGTATTCGATAGGGAATCCGAGCTGGGTTTGAGCAAAGAACGTATCCTATGTGTATTATATGCCCTTTGGTTTGATTAAAGGCGGGTCCAGCATTTATTTTGTTTGTTCATTGTTCTGGTTTGAAAAATGAAAAGAGTATTTACATGTAGTAATCATTTTATTCTTTCTTGTACCTAATAACTATCAATCTTTGAATTTCATGTCACAACTTGTTATTATTTACATTTTGCATAAAATGACGATATTTGTTTGTTGAACCACTGTGTGCTCTAAGGTTAAGTACCGTTACTGAATGATATCCGTTTGTTATACTGTACAGGTGATTATGCATTTATATTGTTTTATTAAGTATTTATTTATGTATTCACGTGGAAGTAGATTAAGAGTGTGATGTTGACCTGTATTTTTGACTAACCGTTTAAATCCATGGGGACCATGGGGCAAATACGTCATACAGTTCTGATTCTTCGCTTCGGTCGGTGCGTAAGCGATACTCTAACTTTTCTTCTGATTAGTATGTGGTTCTGTTTGTGATACCTACCTAATTGACTTTAATAGGTATACTGCTTGTGTTGTCACCTGTACTTCTTCGTGTTAAATTTATGACAGACAATGCCGGAGCTATGTCATTTTGGTTTTTTTTATGTACCTACATGCAATTTACCATTTACGAGTTGTTTGTATAAATATACCTACTTTAAATTATTTCTCTTATTTTCAGTTTGGGTTTGCTTTGCGGAACTAAGCCTCGTTCATTATAAATTTCATTCTTTTATCTCTTTCTTTTGACGCACAAAACTGTTAGCTCGTATGAACTCGTCTGTGAAGCATGTGTTATTGTTTTTCTGTCTATTTTTAACGCATTTTTGAAAAAAAATGCGCTATTATATTCGTTATAGCTGGCTGTCTGGCTGTCCGAGATCTCAGTAATTACAATAGCTAAAGACTTTGCTAAAAAATAGCGATCTGTATTACCAAAAATGCGCTGTAATCATGCATATACTCATTTACAACAAGTTGGTGTATTATAATGGTTATTTTAAAAGCGAAAACGGTGCCCTTATAATATAGACAACATCGTTTAGCTTATATACTTGTTCAATCATAGTTCTAGCTTGTGCTGCAGTTTATTTTTGGTTTCATTTTTCAAAAAAATTATCTGTACGTGAACTTTGGGTAATTGGTACTTCCTAGCACCTGTCGATCTACGGTTTGTGCATGAACTAAGAGTAAGCCCAATTCTCCAGTAAAACAAATATAAAGTTGGAAAAATCAATAGATAAATGCCTGGCACTTATTACTTAAGTGCACACTTAAGTTGCACACGCGCTGCGCGAATTACTCACCGATTTGCGTTTGTCTCAACAATCGTGCCGATTTGGTGAAGGTAAAGGTGAGCAGAAACCCGAAGAGAAAGTGGGTGTTTGCGAAGGTAGTTCGTAACTAACCGATGCCAATGAGTCATACAGGTAATAAAATATTTCAAAACACTTCGGCACTTAGAGAACGAGTGCCTGCTGTTAAGTACGTGTGTAATTAATTAAAACATTTCGTAACGAGTGCAAAGTTAAAATTGCGTTTTGTATTACGCAGCCGTGCGAGCTAATATATTTTATGGTCCCTCGATGATGTCCTTGGGTTAACAAAATTGTATATTCATTATTGCATACGTGCAGCTGTATGTGAAAACGACGCCTTGTATATTTGCCTTTTTTGGTGAGTTATTCCAGTCTGATCTTTACATAATAATTAAGCAATGGTAGACCCCTAACAGTAAAATAAAAGTTTACCGGAAGTGAATCACTACCGCTAAATATGGTATTGTCCGCCTTCACTTTTACGATTAGTCAATCTTAATTGCCAATGGTTTAGATTAACGATATTTAAAAACGGTAACATTTCATAATTAGGGATGCGGTCGTGCAATTTTTTTCAATTAGCGGGTTTTCTCTAGATGGCAGCACCGCATAGTAATAAACAAAGTTGATTGTAAATTGAATAATTGTGGGTATTTGTTTAGTTTTATTTGAGACTAAAGACTCACTTTTCTCCCTGAGGGATTGCAAGAGACCTAAAGTATATGATAGGAGAGACAGCTGCTTCAGCGAATTTTGAATAATTATTTCTGCACAGTTATTATTGTACAAGAATCTAATTAAACTGATAGTTTATTGTAGCAATAATAAGATTACTTACTATCTTGATCCTACAATTTCTACAAAGTTTATCTCAAATTTGTACTAGAGGTTATTCACACTGGGAATACGTGTGTATGGTTGATTGTGCAAATCGTAGAAATCGCTTGGAAATTCTCCGAAATCTTCGAAAATCCAGTTGAAACGCAGTGCGGATGCAAGGCACCATCCAAACAGCAAACATATGCAATAAATCAAAAAATAAAGGCGATTCTTTCATAATTATTGTAATTAAAGAGAAAAAAATATTATATACTTACAGCAGGATGTCCAACGACGAGCTGCGTCGATATATATACGGGGCGGAAAAAAGGAAGAATACCTATATAAACTAAGGACAAAAATGTTCCGTGAGAACCACGCTCCAAAATTTTCAGAATGTGCGTTTTTTTAAAATTTTATTTTCTTCAACCATTTTTATTTTATTTATTTCTGCCCACCTAGGTTTACCTAACTTATCGTTTGCCAATTATTTTTCGGAAATTGCACAAGATAACAAAGCCCTAAATGTGCGGGAGATAAGATAAATGTAAAAAATTCGTAATAATACATCCAAAATTACTGAAAATCGGAGAGTCACTCAAAAGGTGTCTTATCTCGAATTGAAAATCGATTTTAAAGTGGTGGCGATTCTAAATTAAGCTTTTGCCGAGCGAACTTGAAGTTTGAATTAAAAACTTATAGTTTGCACCCAAGTTAATTTGATTAATTATTTAATCAAATAAGCAATGTAAGTTTCAGATTTGATATGTAATTGTCACCTATAAATTTATCAATAATTTGATCCCCTCGCCTTTTTTTTATATAAACAAATTATTTTGTTGTTATTCATAACACGAATGATAAGGTAGCGAAATGTGTTACGAGTTTCCCTGAAAATACTGAAAGAAATGAAACCATTCCGTAACTCGTAATTTCTACCCACAACCAGTTACTGCTAATTGATTTATTTAATGAAAAATCCGAAAATAACGGTTTAAATGCGTGGGAAAGAATGATTGTTCGTTTTAAAAAAAGTATCGGCAAATGTTTGTGGGTACAAATTAGTCCTAAATTTAAAACACTCATTTCTCGAATTTTAATTTGATTGGACGTTTTTTATAAGAAAACCCAAAAATAGCATTTTGCAATTAAAATAAAAAGTCAGACTTCATCACTTCGTCAATTTGAAACACAAGTTTTTCAAATTTTGTAGGGGGTTCATTTCATTTGATTTGGCGTTCTTTATTGGGAAGTTCGAAAACTTCAACACGAGTTTCAAAGGAAAAATCATCAAAAACTGGAAAACAATTTTGAAGAAGGTTCGCTTGATTTGGCGTTTTTTTTTTATTAGAAAGTCACAAAATTGTATGCTCTTTAAGTATACTAAAATTTACATTAAATGCATAATAAATTAAAAGCGGGACGGCAATTTAGCTGGGAATTTTTACTTTAAAACCTTTGCCAGACTTTAATTAATTAAGATAATTATCTAATTAAACGCAACGACGAAATATAGGTATATTACTTAGGCGTATTTTATTAACGATCCTCGAGATCGTTTATAATTTTGTATTGCTGTCTGCCTGTCCGTCCGTCCGTCTGTCTGCCCGGTCGTCTGTCTGTCTGTCTGTCTGTCTGGTTGTCCGTCCGTCTGTCTGTTTGTCTGTCTGTCTGTCCGTGTGCACGATAACTTTGTGTAGAAACATCCGATCACTTTGAAAACACATGTTCTTCAGGATATAAGAAAGGTCGTTATTGTTTTTCGGCTACGTAGACTAACGGGCCAAAAGTTACAGCCCAAAAACCGTCCAAACCTCTAAAAAAGGGTTTCTTTTATAATTCTTGATACAAAGAACATATGAATGTCCGGTTTTCTGTGTTAGTAAATATTCCTTAAACCTCAGGTGACTATGCAGATGAAAAAAAAATTGCGCGAGTAGTCCTGAAGCCGAGTTATCGCAGAGCCGAGTCGTCCGGTCTCACTTCTGCGGTTTTGAACTACTTTCAGGGAAATTGTCCTAGAGGCTAGAGGCCTGGAATTTGTTGCAAAAGGTAGCTTATACCTCGAAGGTGTGTCAGACGGCCATAACATTTTGTTTTCTAAAAGAGGGGCCCTCCTAAGATTTATTTCCTGAGATGCTGACCTTTGAACCTTTGAAAATGAGGGGGGGGGGGCGCACGTTCTACCCTTCATGGCATTCTAATCAAAAGTCTCATCGAAAGGAATTGCTTTCTACAAATTATAACTTTCCTTGTGCGACTCTTTTGATTTTATCTTTCATGGTATTCTAACTGTTTTCTACCAACTATCGCCTTTTTTATCCCTTATCAAAATAGAGGGTTCGGGGGGGGGGGGCTGGTTTTATTCTCCACGGCACTCTAATGAAAGGTCTCAATGAATGGAATTGATTTCTACCAGCTTCCGCCTCGGCCCCTTATCGATGAACGGTCATAATTCTTATATTGTTGAAGGAGGCTACGCACAAAGAGCGATTGGGGCGTCTGCGTCTGGAAAAAATATATCCATTGGTGATGTCAAAAGCGAATATCTGGAAAACGGTTTCACGGAGAGTAGTCACAGAGGCAAAATGAGTCGTCTGGATGAGACGAGAGATGAAAACGCATTATCGGAAGAGGGTACTCATCAGGGCAAGTGGAACGCCTGGACAAAATGCGTTTATGTGACAATATCAAAACTTTTAGTGCAAAAATCTGCAGAACGGAGTGTCGGGGGAGGTACTCTCAAAGGCGTGTAAAGATGTTCTAGACACGAGACACATCTACTGGCGACTTCATTGTGAATATCTTCATAATCTTGGGGGAACTTCTGTAAGATGTTGATTTTATATGGCACTTTGTGCGCCAAAATATTTCAAATCGGCTCGGCGTCACAAAAGTGACTACCTATGAAACAATTAATCAAAATGGGCGCGAAATAGGCACTTGCCGGTCTAATTATATCCACTTCGGAGAGCGCCTCTTCCATATTATATGTTACGGTTTTCATTCAGACATTATGAAACGCTATGAAGACGTCGTTTTTCCAAAAATATACGTTCTTGGTCTTTTAAAAAAATAATGTGAGAAGTAAAAATGTGATGAGATAGCAAACTGTGCATACTTGGAAGTTTGCCATGAGACGCGCGACAGATAAACTAGATATCTTATCTGTGCTATGATTGATTTATCTTAAAAAAAATACAAATAGTAGTAGCTCAACCGCACTATTTTTACGTGTCGTGTAGGTATCAACTTATACACGTTTTCTTTTGTACAAATTGTGGTTTAAACGCACGCAATTACGGCGCAAAAAAGCAACCATAAGTGCCTCCAATTTATGTCAAGATCACCGCTCACATTAATTTTAAATACCCACATCTAGCAGGTTTTAATCTGAATTTAGAATCGAAGTAAATAAGTCTGGGGGGAAACCGGAACCTACTTACCTTTCGCTAAGGTAGAACCAGTTCACTTACCCTCATATGACTAATTCTGATCGTGTTTTACAGGCGAAGCCAAAATATGGCCGAATACCTTCAGTACGATTGGAAAACGCACATGTTGCCAAGGGAGTTCCTCCAGGAAATCTATCCGAAACCAAAAGTCGACCAAAACACCTCCATTTCCAGCTTGAGGAATTTAGTGAATCAATCGAGCGATTTCGCGTTTAAGAATACTCAAAATCAAGATGACAGGACGCTGTTGAAGTTTTTGTACGCGCGAAAATTCGACGTTGACGAAGCCTACCAGCTCCTCCAAAATTATCACACTTATCGTAAACGGAACGAAGACCTCTTTAAGAACTTCACAATCAAATCGCACGACATACTGAAGGCACTAGAGAACGGACTTCCAGGTGTCTTAAATTCCAGGGACCGTAAGGGACGAACCGTGCTAATTATGGACACAAACAACTGGGACTGCTCGTACAATCTGCTCAGTATCTATCGATCGCTACTGTTCACTTTGGAATATTTAATCAACGATATCACCAATCAGGCTAATGGGTTTGTGGTGGTCGTCGATTGGACCGAGTTTTCTTTTCGACAGAGCACCAATTTAAAGCCGGGCGTTCTCAAACTGATGATTGAAGGTTTGCAGGATTGCTTTCCGGCACGATTCAAGGGCATCCACTTTATCGGACAGCCCTGGTTTGTTAACGCCGCTTTGACGTTGATTAAGCCTTTTCTAAAGGACAAAATGAAGGAGCGCATCTACGTGCATGGAAATAATCTCAGTACTCTGCATGATTATCTTCCCAAAGATATACTTCCTGCGGAAATGGGGGGAGAGTTACCTAGTTATAATCCACATATGTGGCTAAAGAATGTGATCGTTAGTGAATCTCAGTAAGTGTTTGTGTTTTGTCTCGTTACCCTTTGGTGTGGGTTGGTAGGAGGCGAGATCGTCTAGATTACTGTTTAATGCTGAACAAACTTACCGAATTTTTTTCAGTAGGAATACCTAGACTTTATTTATTAGTAATTTATGCAATTTGTGTTTTTGTTACTGTATTATATAATTTCGGTGGATCACCATAATCTTTAAGGGCTTCTTTAGTCTTTGACAATCACATTAGTATTATAGAGCGTGCAGATTTTTTTCTTTGCACCAATAAGTGATTAAAATGACTTCATATATTTAATAAAAGTAATCACCTACAATTGACTTGTCTCGTTAACTATAACAATGGAATTACATCAGTGACCTAGTTAAATGTAATCATCCATCATTCTCTTTGTGTTTCAAATCCGTGAATCATTTCTGGATGGTACTGACTTTTTAGTTTCATACATAACGCTTTTTTAGATACCCAATTTCGACTTAAAAATAGTAGTGGTGCCCTCTGGTGAATAAAGCGCTTGAACTTCTGTCATTACATTTTTGTAGCTATGATCAGGAAATTTTGAAGATGAGTTCAACTTCAGGCAGTTTTTATTCTTAGGCGTCTTTCGCGTTTGAAGTTTTGACTATACACCATCAGTAAGAACTTGTCGGAGGCTACCACATTCTTTTTGTCGGTACCCACTCCCGTTCACTCGCAATTCGCATTTTGGTGGATTTCGTTAGAAACCCTTCACAAAATGGTACTCAATCTTTGGCTCGAGTTTCTATTGGTGACACGAGAGAGACTGCGATTCGAGCTATGAAAAACTGTTGGGTGCCAAAGGTCGACTACACCTCAAAAACGCGCGCCTTGCAAAAGATGGTTAATTTCGCCCCTAGAAAAAAACAAAATTCCGTTACGCTGGAGTTGCGCACGTTTAAAAGATCTTTCCAACGACAAGAATCTGAAAAATCACTACGTCACTAAACCACGCTCGGGGATGGCGCCCAGATGTCGCCGACCCCACATCATGTAGCCCCGTCCCTAAAATTGTTGAATACACGTCCCGATAGATACACGTCCACGCCTCGCCTTTCTACAAGCGATCGTCTACAGGCCCTCATTTTCGACCAACCAACAAGCCAGCCAATCGACAAAGTGAGATTAAAAGCTACCTTTTTACAGATAAATTTGCAAAAATGCGTTAAAAACAGCAACAGAAATGTGTTTACAATATCCACCCAAGAAAATATAGTCACCATTTATCGTTTTGAAGTGCATTGGGAAGAAAATACCATTGGTCAATTATATATAAAACATTGGGATTTCGCCTCGGGATCCCGGGACACTGCGCTGTTACCTTTCCGCCCTCTCCTCACGACGGCTTTAAACATTTCTGGACGAAATTGAAAGTAGTGAAAGGAACGTACAAGTAGGTACCTACTCGAATTCCCGAGAGTCTTTAAAAATCTGCAGATGATTTTGAGGGCTTAATAAATCGTCAGCACGATAAATCAAACCAGATAATCAAGTCATATGTAGACAGAGACATCATAACCACAAGTGGAAAACACGATAAATCAGATGAAGTACAAAACACATCCCCGGTTCAGTTTAGATAAAACAACTCGTAAACTGTGTTAGAGAACCCCTTCTCGTTTGTGCTAAGATACAAGAGCTGCAGTCCGCACGAGAAGGAAAGCAACAGATGTAGCGAAGAATCGGACTGTAGTAGGTATTTCTTTCGCGGAAATAGTTAATCCACTCATACAGAAAAACATCAGAGCAACAGCAGACTGATAACAAACATCCTCGTGAATACGTAAGTAAACACTTAATAAACAATATAAACGCATAATTACCCATCACCCGTACAGTATAACCACAGATTTAAATTAGTATATTTAAATCTGTGGTATAACATAAACAAACGGTACTCAAAACCGGCCGGCCTGTGTGGCGCAGTTCAGTTGAAGCTGGACTGTGGTGCTAGGGTCCCTGGCGTCGATTCCCGAAGATGTGCTTTGTTCACATCGACTGACCTTGATGTGAACGTGAATGTCACTGCATTCTCGAACCTACCACATCGAGCGAAAAGTTGATCGAACGCAACGACTGGTCTAGACCACTCGTTGCGTGAAAGTCATGCGCAGTTGCAGCTACAGGACGGATCTTGCAGCTGTTTTGCTATAGAGGTTATTCAGTGCCCTAACCTATAAATTCACATATTTTCTGTGAAATAAAACATGGAATTGTTCGAGGATTTTCTGGTTATTAATAGCAGTATCCATAATGCAAAAACAAAACAAAATACAAAACTGACAAATGACAGTTCAATTCTTGTCTGTGATTGGTTAGCGCATAAAGTTTGTCCACGATTCGGGAATGCAGCTAAACTTGAACTTATCCCTATCGTATACGATCATGACGTCATGGCAGCCGGTCACATCACATGCACATCACGGAGCATATCGACTAACTTCGGGAATCGATGCCCTGGTTCGAATCCGGGTTCGGGCATGGATATTTGTAAATGTATAGTGGGTTGGGTTGGTAGAGCAGCCTTGGCTGAAACCCCGCCCACTCAAAAATAAAGGCTAAATAAATAAATAAATAAATAAATAAATAAAAATAAATAAAAACAAGAGCATGGAGATGGAGTACGCCTTGCTTCAATAACAAATATTTTATGCAAAGTGTAGGTAAATAATAACCATTGAATATTAATTTTTCTTTCAACGATTATAACAAATTGTCACATTAAATTTAAACATGATAGTACAAGAAATAATAAATGCTTGAGTATATTACCTCTGTAAATAAGTACACTTATTCAAGCTTCTGGAAACAAATACATCTAGGTGGTCATGATCTAAAATTTCCGCAAATGAACAGAAGCATATGCTCTACCAAATCAAGAAGCGACAACTATGGCAGACATTCTAGTAAAAGAACCTTTTAGCAGATTCTGAGTACCCGGTACCCCCAAAACTACACACTGGCGATTGAGATTATACATGATGGGGAACGGTTCTGCAGTGTAGGACAGAGTTCGGCTTCTGTTATGTTTGTTTGGGAACTCCTCTTTCAAATTTGGAACCAGATGTGATGTTTCACGATGTATGGGATTGAAACTGGTACCTCGACGTTGTTTAGGCCAATGATGGTGGTTTTTCTTATTGACTCGTTGACTTGCAGTTGCTCCTTAGGTTATAGCTCGTTGTATAAAACTTACCTTTTTTTGCTTTGCCTATATAAATACGTCTTGTGTATTTAGTGGTAAATGCGGTATTGGTATATCTGAAACTTATGGTGGGTTTATACGATCATTATCATTAGTCATTTTATCATTAAGAAATAGCCAATAGAAACAAAGGTTTAATTTACTATGCGTCGCTAGCCAACGAAACCATACCTTTGTTTTTATTGGATTTTTCTTAACGATCGAGAACTATATAATAATACCAACACCAATAATTTGTGTAGATTTACGACAATAAAATTTAGGAACGTTGAGAAATCGCCAAATGCCAATTTTGAATATTTCATCAAAATCACAATCGATACGTTACCTGAATTATAACTCTCAATCAGTAAACGCTGTGACATCGTCTGCTTTATTTATGATGCAAACGTTATAGGTTACAATTTATACAATATATCGAATCTCATGTAAGTTTCCTAACTACAAAATCAATTTTAAATCTATACAGAATTTGAACAAATATTGTAATGATAAATTACATTATATTTTACCTCAAGATATAAACAATTGTTCAAAGAAACGCAAACGCAATTGAGTTTATTTAATATATATTGTTGTGTTATTTTGTTTTAGTTGTAACTTGAAAGAAATTATAGAGCGTCTGGATGTGACAATTTTGTTTAGTTCAATTAATTAACCGGGGGGGTTATTAATAATTTGAGACAAAAAATTGCGTAAATTTCATGTTATAGTTTTGGTTCAATTTCTTAGAAGTGTTCTGTTTTTATTTTATTCCTAGAATTTTTTTCGATGTAAATTTCTTTTTAAATTTTATTTGCCGTTAACGAGGTATAGCGCGAAGTAGAGATAAGGTTCTTCGCAGAATTGCCGGGCGTACGTGCCGTTTAGCAAGAAGTTGAAAAATCGACGCTTCGCGTGATTGGCGGACGGGGTGTGGAAGAAAGGAGAAGGGCTTTTGGCTTAAATAGAAAATTTTTGAAGAGAGCGGGGCTTTTTGGTCGTTACAAAGCCAACCGGCGCTTCTTCGGTTACGTTATTTTTGAATTTTGTGGAAGTTTCTTGCGTAGTGGATCCAGGTTTAGTTAGAATTTTTGTCTGCCGTTTAAGAAGAATTTTTGAGAAGTTTAAGAAGTTTGTCGTCGTCCTGTTTTTTTTTTATTTTGCGGAAACACGGAAGTTTTGAATTTGTGGGTACCCGAAGAGAGAAGACGTCGGTGTTTGAGTGTTTGGTTTGCGTGATTGTGTACGGATACCTCTTTTTATCGGAGTACGTTATTCGGACTAATTTTAAAAGTAAGTAGTAGTTAGTGGTTTGTTTTGTCTTGTTTTGTTTGTAATGTTTGAGTAATTTGTTTTTTTTTTGTGTGTGTCATTTATCTGTTTAAAATTGTAACAATTTGTAAAACAGAAATTTACGCAATTTTTTGTCTGAAATTAAACCAGTCATTGCAATCCAGGTTTTGTTTATTAGAGTCAAAGAGAGGTAATTGTCGGCGTCTCTTACTTTGTTTCAAGTTTATTAAATCTGGGGGTAAAGTTTCATATTGGAATTTAAGGGAGGTATTAGCCACCGACCTGGCGAGGTTGCTACCCCTTGTCCGGACGAAGAAAAGGGGTGGTCGGACTCATTTTACGGGCCCTGAGATTTGTGTTTTTAAGAGTTTGTGTGGGATTGAGCTAGTAAGGGTAAGTTGTGTGGGTATCTTTCAGGCTTAGGAAGTTTACACAACAAATTAATTGGCGCCCAATAGCGTGAGGCATCAGGGAAACGCGGAAGTAGGTCGTTTTTTATTGAAAGTTTAAAGTTCATTGTAGGCAGGATTTATTGTGCGACGGGTAAGATTTTATTTGGTATCCGACACGATAAGTTTAAAGGATTTTTTTTTTAACGCAATTATTTGAAGAGGTTTTTGGTTGTGACAGGTTAAGAAAGGGTTAGGTAGTAACGTTATTGCGAAGGGTAGTTGAGTAGAGACAGGGAAGTTAAACAAAAATTTTTATAAGATTTGGAAAAGAAATAAAAGTGACAGCGAGCGTAGAGACGGTTATTTGTTATATTTTTGTATAATTATAACAGCGTAAATTATTAACAAGAGAAGATTATGGATTCGAAGCCCGAGAGTGGAATTGATGTACCGACGGACGTCAGCGCAGAAATAATACCGGGGTCAGTCGACGTGCCGGAAGGAAAAGGAGAGGTCTCTACAATGGGATTAACGACAATGCAGGAAGGGTTCTTTGCTCAAATGATAACGATGATGAGTGAGATGAGGACAGAGAATAAGCAAATGAATAACCAACTGGGGGACAAATTGAGCGGTCAGATAAAAGAGATAAATAAGAAGATAGAGAACCAGAATAAAACGACAGCGGAATTAAGACAGGACGTGGTGAGAATCATGAACGAGATTAGGCAAGACATGCAGGAGAGCGTCAGAGAGGTAGAAAAGAAGACCGATGGAAATACGAGGGAGATTAGAGAATTAAGGACGGATATGGCCGAGAACATCAGCGTGCTGCACCAACATCACGAAGGGGTGAACAAGCGAGTGATGGAGGTAGAGAACCAGATTAGGATGGAGGTCAGCTACACGCAGCAGGAGTTTGAAAAAGTTGAAAAGGGATTTTGTCATATGCAAGAAGTCTGCAACAAAAATAAAAGTACGAGTGAGGAAGAATTAAAAGAACTACGGAAGGAATTGGAGAATAAGCCGAGACAGGGAGGAATACAGTACGCCAACAATTTTAAAGGGGACCTAGATCGTCTGGAACAGTTCACGGGTAAGGGAAAAGTCCACCCTATGACGTTTCTAAAAATTTTAGAGGCGACGATCCTAAACAACAGGCGAATTTTTGGGAAACTATTCACGAACGTGGACGAAATCAGCTTGATAAGAAGTGTTCTAAAGGAAGACGCGCAGATTTGGTATGACACGGTGGACGAGAAGATTGCCAACTTCGAGTCATTCAAGGAAAATTTTATAAGCCAATACTGGGGCGATTGGGAGCAAAATAAAACACGGGACCAATTAAACATGGGAAAGTATAACCGAAATAGGGGTAGCCGTGTGAAGTACCTGATGGAAAATTATTCACAATTTAAACACCTAGAAAATGGGATACAGGAATCAGTGCTGGTAAGGCGGCTGGCAAAACATTATGAAGAGGAGATTTCCCAGAAGGTCACGAAGGACGACATCACCACGTACGAAGAATTTTTAAGGATGCTCAAACGTTACGACACGGCTGACGAGGAGAAGGACGCCGCCTACGATTATAAGATCAGGGAGCAAGGACGGCAGTATGAAAAACAAGGATACGGAAACCAGTGGAGAGGAAACAGACCATACGGAGCGTATCAAGAAAGGGGTAACCGGATGGAGAATTTGAACCTAAATTACAACAATTATAACAACAATGGAAATTATAACAGGAATGCGAATAATGGGAATTTTAATAGGAATAACAACAATAGAGGGAATTTTAACCGCGAGTTTAATTATGAACAGAAATTCGAAAGGGAATATCAGAAGGACCAGAGGGAGCAGGAGAGAAGACCGGATTATGCAAGAGGAGCCCGAGAAGAGAGACGAGGGGAGGGAAATGCAGAACAGGACAGGAGACGTATTAACCAGATTTTAAAACCGACGCGGGACACCGGAGAGGAAAACAAAATAGAAGTGGTTAGAGCCGAAGTCCATCCACCACCGACGGATTTTTAAGAGGCCGCGCTATTGTCGGATACGTGTACTCGCACCCGAAAGAATTTATTCAAATTGACGACAATAGTGCGGAAGACAAATCGGACAACTTCATTACCAATTTACCAACAATAGGGGTGCTGGTGGAAGGAAAAAGGGCCAAGGCATTGATTGACACGGGGGCGGAAGTTTCTTTAATTTCAGAAGATTTCATTAAAGAAAATTTAGGAAGAGTGGAGAGTTTTACCGTACCCATTAAAGGATTAAAATTAATAACGGCAAATAAGAAAAATTTCGCCAACGTCAAAAGAAAATTTATTTTAGGGATTGAAGTAGGAGGTGAACGGCTGCAGGAAGAATTATTGGTTTTAGCGGGGATGCAGGCGGATTTAATTATCGGGATTGACATTTTAAAAATGTATGATGGAATTGTGGATATAGGAAAAGGAAATGTAAGAATAGGAAAATTAGAAGTGAAAATAGAAGACGAAAAGATCAAGAAAGACCCGGATAACGAAATGGAAATTAACGTTTGTCAGAAATGGGGGAATGAGGAGTATTGGAAAATGTCAAAATTAAATTGCCCAGAAGAGTGGTCGGAAAAGGTAACAGGAATACTGAAGGAAAATCGTGAACTTATCAATGACGAAGTGAGAATGGCGAGAGGTTACGAACACACGTTGCAAGTGGATGATAGGAAAATGGGGAAAATCCAAACGTATTCGGTGCCTTTCCATTATCGAAATGAAGTAAGAACCGTGTTAACGAAAATGACCGAAGACGGAATAATTGAGAAGGCCACAACTAACATTATCAACCCGCTTGTCATCGTGAAGAAGAAGAACGGCTCGCTTCGTTTATGTTTAGACGCGCGCGAACTTAACCGACGGACAACACCTCAGTTAGAATCGCCCCAGAAAATAGAGTCTTTATTAGGGAAAATTGGGGGGAATAAAATCTTTACGAAATTAGACTTACAAAATTCGTTTTGGCTAATTCCTTTAGAAAGAAATTCTAGAAAATTTACAGGGTTCAGTGTCGATGGTGTCACGTATCAATTTAAGGTAGTTCCATTTGGACTAGCCAGCTCGTGCGCAGCATTAGTTAGAGCAATGCAGTGCATTCTCGATAAATTCGATAAATTTTGCCTACATTATGTTGATGACATAATCATTTTTAGTGACACGTTAGAGGATCATTTTAATCACATTCAAGTAATATTGCGGGAATTGAACAGGAATGGAATGAAATTACACATAGAGAAATGCGAATTTATAAAAGACAGGGTTAAATTTTTAGGCTTTGAAATAAATAAAATTGGGATGGAAGTAGAAAATAGCCGGTTGGATGAAATTAATAATTTTCCACGACCAACAAATGTTAGGAAATTACGAGGGTTTCTGGGGATGTTAAATTATTATAGGAAATTTGTACCAAGGTATTCAGAAATTTCATTACCGTTAGTCGGGTTATTACATAAAGGGGTAAAATTTAAATGGGATGAAGGGAAAGAAGAAGCATTTAAAAAAAAAGTTGAGGGTGGCTGATGGCCCAAAGCAGATTAGTGCCAAGTTATTGTTACCGTATGAGGGGCCCTATGTGATTAACAGACGTTTTGGAGATAGTTATGAGTTAAGAGTAAGGGATTCTGAGAAAATAAGGGGTAAATTTCATGTAGACATGCTTTTTCGTTATGATGATGACTCAGAGGAAGGGGTTGAGTAATCGTTAGTAGAAGCTTAGCTTCGTAAATGTTTGGCGTTTGCTAGAATGGTGTTAGATTTTGAGTTTGGGTTTAAAGTTTTAGTTAGGGACGATAGGGATCTCAGGCCGGAGGTGGGGGGCGGCGCCTTTTTGAATCTGGACAGGGCGGCTCGCGTGTTAGGGTCGGTTGGTTAAATTGCCCATAAAAACCCGGTAATTCCAAAGTTTTTTTTATTTGTAGTCAGGGGAGGATTGTAATTTTGTGTTTTTGTGTTCAATTTAAAGGGGGAAAAATGTTGTGTTATTTTGTTTTAGTTGTAACTTGAAAGAAATTATAGAGCGTCTGGATGTGACAATTTTGTTTAGTTCAATTAATTAACCGGGGGGGTTATTAATAATTTGAGACACAGGATTGCGTAAATTTCATGTTATAGTTTTGGTTCAATTTCTTAGAAGTGTTCTGTTTTTATTTTATTCCTAGAATTTTTTTCGATGTAAATTTCTTTTTAAATTTTATTTGCCGTTAACGAGGTATAGCGCGAAGTAGAGATAAGGTTGTCTTCGCAGAATTGCCGGGCGTACGTGCCGTTTAGCAAGAAGTTGAAAAATCGACGCTTCGCGTGATTGGCGGGCGGGATGTTGAAGAAAGGAGAAGGGCTTTTGGCTTAAATAGAAAATTTTTGAAGAGAGCGGGGCTTTTTAGTCGTTACAAAGCCAACCGGCGCTTCTTCGGTTACGTGATTTTTGAATTTTGTGGAAGTTTCTTGCGTAGTGGATCCAGGTTTAATTAGAATTTTTGTCTGCCGTTTAAGAAGAATTTTTGAAAAGTTTAAGAAGTTTGTCGTCGTCCTGTTTTTTTTTTATTTTGCGGAAACACGGAAGTTTTGAATTTGTGGGTACCCGAAGAGAGAAGACGTCGGTGTTTGAGTGTTTGGTTTGCGTGATTGTGTACGGATACCTCTTTTTATCGGAGTACGTTATTCGGACTAATTTTAAAAGTAAGTAGTAGTTAGTGGTTTGTTTTGTCTTGTTTTTTTTGTAATGTTTGAGTAATTTGTTTTTTTTTGTGTGTGTCATTTATCTGTTTAAAATTGTAACATTTTGTAAAACAGAAATTTACGCAATTTTTTGTTTGAAATTAAACCAGTCATTGCAATCCAGGTTTTGTTTATTAGAGTCAAAGAGAGGTAATTGTCGGCGTCTCTTACTTTGTTTCAAGTTTATTAAATCTGGGGGTAAAGTTTCATATTGGAATTTAAGGGAGGTATTAGCCACCGACCTGGCGAGGTTGCTACCCCTTGTCCGGACGAAGAAAAGGGGTGGTCGGACTCATTTTACGGGCCCTGAGATTTGTGTTTTTAAGAGTTTGTGTGGGATTGAGCTAGTAAGGGTAAGTTGTGTGGGTATCTTTCAGGCTTAGGAAGTTTACACAACAATATATTTTAGGGGACTTCATTGTATTAGTCCGGGAGGTAGCGTCTCATCTTTGGTTTCTTTGTAGCATTCAATAATCGTCTCGCTATTGCGTGCATGAGGTGCGGAAGTTTCAATTTTGCCAGCCCAGTTTATTGGGATTTATCCTCGTTCAATTGATATCAATAAAGCTCGAAAAATATATTTTGAGACCCGCCCATAGTTTGGGGATCTAAATCATCAATTTATACACGCCGCCTTTATTTCCAAAAATTTTAAACAATCTTACTGTTTGTCTTATTTTCTCCTTAGCTTCTTCGACCACCAGAGGGCTATTTTCTAATTTTTTGGCACGGCTCCCTAACAGGGAAATAAAAGTTAGTAGCGCCTGAAAAATAATCTCACACAAACATACCTAGTCTCTCCGTGAGCAGCCGCAGCCGTGGTTAGGGCTATTAGTTTCCTTTTTTTGGTTTGTTTTGTCTCTTTTGATTTATTTTATGTCCTTAACAAATCATAAAATACAATGTTTCAATTTATGTATAATATTATTATAAAGCATGTGATACCATTTTACTCATGTACCTATTCTCTTTCAATCATATTTTTCTCCAATAATATGACATCAGCATGCATGGAAATGAGCACCTTGTGATGAAACCGAATTAGCCCGCTAAAATTCGATTTAAATATTCCCGAAATCGAGCCTGGCGCGACGAAAAAGGTCAAGATTGCGCTTTGTTTGGTTTTCGTGGAACACGTGTTTTTTTCTTCTCTGCTCTACATTGAAATGGGCCATAATTTACAATAAAAGTGTCAAATATTATGCTATGCGAGGAAACTTAATGATCCGTATCGACCCGTCTCGGAGCACGTTCAATTTTCGTCTAGGATTTACCTACACAGGGGAAATTTAAAGAGAAGTATTGGTGCTTTTGTTGAAAGCGGTAGAAAATCTTTACGTTCCGTATAGTGAGTGCGACTTCGAGAACTGCAAAGGTGACGTAGTCTCAATCCTTACCTGTATTACACCCTTTAGTAATTGTGTAATCGTGTTAGATTATTTGCCAATTTAATGTTATTCTCGTACAGCATTGATTATAGCCATTTATAACACATTCTAGATACAAATCGCACTTTTCATTATACTGGTTCTACTGTGAATGACTGACCGATTTACGTGTTTTTACTTATATTTAGATCATGCATGTCCACTTAGGGGCTATATTCAATACAAGTATGCAGTAGAACTACATTTTAATTTATAATTTCGCTTTTGTTTGCCTGAATATGTTACTGTGTATTTACAGGGTGCCTCATCTGGGGGCGAGTGACGTACGTTAGGTGGTTGATTGTTGATTATATCGTTATACTCCTACTATTTATTTGCGGGTGATTATGATTATTAATATTTGGCAGGGTGACTTGTTTCGAATATGTACTGTGCTATATTTGATAGGTACCGATATTATATCTCGATTTGGCGAAAATGGTCCGAAAAACAATTTTTTTACGTCTTTCTCAGTCTCTCGCCATCTTAAGCCACGCTTTTGAACCAGCTGACGCCCCTATCGTTGATAGGTTATGGATCAAAAATCTATAGTAGAAAGATGAACTTTGCGAAAATGATCCGGTCAAATAGGACGCTAGCTCCCGGACTATATGTCTTGCTGTAAAGTGATACAACCGAAAACCAATACAATTCATTTTATTAGCAGCTAAATATTACGTATCTTAAGCTACATAGTAAGAACCTTGTGCTCATGGAAATGGAAAATGTGTATGTGGATTGCGCTGATATCTCAAAAGTACTACAAAACAAATAACCTCACACCTTTAACATGTGTTTTTACCACCTGAAACACAACAACCAAGCATTTTTCTTTTCTAACGTTTGAAAAATCTTAAGGAGACCTAATACCTACCCTTTACTAGGAAAAGAAAATTCAAACTTCAAATACTTGACAGATATCTGCAAAACAGGCGAAAGTGTAGTAGTAACAAGCTCTGCCCCTCTCCCGATCCTCAAGCTGTTTGGTCATCATTCTTCAGATACCTTATAAAAACCGAGTTTCTGAAGACGACACTCACAAAAGGAAAATGGAACATCTAGGGGAGGTACATCTTCACGAAAGCACTAAACAAAATTTGAATAAATCCTCAAACAATTAATGTATGTACTTGCTTAGATTTCAATGTACCCTTGCTTCCTCCCTTTTTGGCCCGTCCAACTTCTCTTTCCTACTGTGTCTTACTTCCCACAGTATTAATAAGATAAATCGAGAAGGGCCGTAGCCAGATTGATTATTAAGAGCGGGTCAATAAATACCTATACCAAAGAGGTACATACATCGAGCCGCCTATTTTTGGCGGCCAAGTTGAAGCTTAAAGGTGCTCGTTCACTTATAGGCGAAGCGTCGCGAAGAGAAGCGTTGCGCTTTTTTTCGCCTTTGAAATTGCCATATAATTTAATGGCAACCCGCTCGCTTGGGCGGGACGAATCGAAGTGGCGAGTCGTTTGCCGCGCGGATGTTCTTCAGAGCAACTAGGAGTCGTTTCTCTCGACGCTTTGCGTAAATGCACGGGTGACAACCGAAGAGAAGATTCAACATTTTACCGATCCATGTCCGAACTCTAAAGGTGCTTGCTCATTTAGGCGAATTGTCGCGAAGAGAAGCGTGGCGTCTGGAACGGAATGAGGCGCTGCGGGAATATTATATATTTTTAGCATTTGAAAGTAGCGCGTTGTTCGGTGTAGATATGAGCAGGTCCTCGTCAGAAGAGGAGATTTTTGTATTAAGTTTAATTGCCAGTATGGAAGAAGAAGAACCAACCACCATCATTTGTTTAATGACTTTAGATAAGATAAAAAGAACGTTTTTTTTTAATTTCCGTAAGTCAGAGGAAAAGTTTTTTGAGTTTCTTAGTTTGTACCTTGAGTTCGGACATGTATCATTAAAATTTTGAATCTTCTCTTCGATTGTTATCCGCGCATTTACGCGAAGCGTCGAGGGAAATGACTCCTAATTGCTCTGAGGACCATACGCGCGTCAAACGACTCGCTTCTTCGATTCGGCCCGCCCAAGTGAGGGCGAGGGTGTTGAGGGTTACTATCAAATTTGTACACTTCAATGGCGAAAAAAAGCACAACGCTTCGCCTCAAGTGAGCGAGCACCTTTAAGGTTTGCCAAATTTTTCAGGGTTAAATCATAAATCTTAAATGAAAAATTTTAAATGTGACCATTAATTTCCCTGAAGCAAATTGCCATATTAACTCTAACTCTGAAATGCTAAATCTTAAATGCATAAATCAGCGTTTAAAATAAAATTATTAAAGCACCTAAGCGTTTAGTTAGAAATTCTCATTCATATCATTTAAATATTTTCGAGTACGTTTATTCGAAAACATAAATGGAATTCCTTCTAAATTTGGTCAATTTTCTCTGCTTCATGGATACATAAACCGGTACGCCTGATTCGATTTGCAATCAACGTATGCAGAGTGCATCTCGGAAGACTACTTCAAAGCAGAGCTACCTCGTCGTCTTATTAAGTTAGTTCAGCTCGACGAACTTCGAAAAATACTCAAATAAGATATTCGACCAAAACCAATATGGACCAGTATTAGATTACTATTGCTTGAGAGGCATAAAAAATATTGCCTTTATGGTCTTTGAATTCGATAATGCGTTTTTGGTATGTATATACGTACATCAGAAACTAAAGATGAAGACAAATTTTGTTCGTATATCGCTCACATATTTTGTAAGGATACGTGTCGG